TTCTATTATGATTGACTTTGAAATGGCTGTGATAAAAAGTGTTGAAAGGGTATTTCCAGAGTGTTAGGTAAAAGGATGTTTCTTCCATCTTAGCCAAAATATATACAGAAAAATTCAGGACTCTGGCCTTCAAAAACTCTACCAAGTTGATAGTGAATTTGCTCTCAGGCTCAGAATGCTACCTGCGTTGGCTTTTGTTCCCATCGAACACATGATTTATGCCTTTGAAAAAATTATTGGAAATTTTCCCCTAGAAGCAATGCCGATTGCAGACTACTTTGAGGACTACTATATTGGCATACCACAACGTTGAGGTCGGAGACAACCTATGTTTCCACTTGATATGTGCAGAAGACCATATGCCAAAAACAAACATATGGGATGTTGCCACCCAAATATTTGGAAATTTATTGACTTTATTAAAAGGAACAATCGCCCCAAGAGGTTTATTGTACACAGATTAATTCAGGTCACTGTTTACGAAAACAGAAAAAAAATATATTGATAGCAGCTCTCGAATTTTAACTGTTGTTAATAAATAAATAAATAAATGTTTAATGAGTCCACCATTATTGAGTATTTGCGAGGCATCGCTCACAATCTGTCTTTTTAAAGTTATAATAAAAATATTAAAAGGAACAATCGCCCCAAGAGGTTTATTGTACACAGATTAATTCAGGTCACTGTTTACGAAAACAGAAAAAAAATATATTGATAGCAGCTCTCGAATTTTAACTGTTGTTAATAAATAAATAAATAAATGTTTAATGAGTCCACCATTATTGAGTATTTGCGAGGCATCGCTCACAATCTGTCTTTTTAAAGTTATAATAAAAATAAAACAGTTTTTTCTAATGTTTGTTTTGTATTTATATATTAATTTTGTTTCTCGTCATCTTTGGTTTTCCTTATATAAACCTCAATAGGGGGGTTTTTTGTCCAGGGGGTTTATATCGCGGAGGGTTTTTGTCCAGGGGGTTTATATCGCGGGGGGGGGGGGTTGTATCCAGGGGGTTTATGTCGCGGGGGATTTATGTCCAGGGGTTTTTGTCGGGGGGTTTATGTCCATGGGGTTTATATCCAGGGTTTTTTTGACCGGGAGCCCCTAATAGATAGTCCCTGAATTTTTCAGTCACAGCCCATTTTAATGTCAAAAGTTCTAGTTTCGTGGCGCTGTAGTTTGTCATGTTCTTCTCTGATCCGTTCTGACATACGCAATAACCCTGAAACCTTCCTCCTGTTGTTGTGATAGCACGGCTCCCAGACCTTTAGAGCTGGCATCAATCTCTAGCCTAAATGTTTGTCAAAGTCTACGTCTCCCAATATCGGTGCCTTGGTCAGAACCTCTTTCAGCTGCTCAAATGCCTTTGGCATTCTTGAGTTCATAACGTCCCTATCAGTTGTGTTTTGCCTTTCTTTTTCTCCTTGTTATGTTTCTGTGCCATTTTGTTTACCAACTCGTGCAGCGGTGCCGCAATTTTAGAAAAAGCCAGGTACACATTTTCTGTAGTATGAAGCAAAGCCTAGGAACGATCTGACCTCGACTGTGGTTGTTGGCTGTTTCCATTCTTTAACTGCGGTTAATGCATCTGGATCGGTTGCAATGCCGTCCCCGGAGATCACGTTGCCCAAAAAAATGTACGGATTTCAAACCGAATGTGCATTTGTTTTTGGTTCATCTTTGGGATGAACTACTGAATGGTTCGACAGAATATAATGGTAGTGTAGACCCTCTCACTACATTGCTGCGGGACACATAGCCCCAGTTATAACATATATATATATATATATATATATATATATATATACTAGCCGTCCCGGCCAGGCCCTGCTCTGGCTTCTGTGAAAAACCTTTCTGTTAAAGACCATTACCTGTGTGTTTAGTAATCATCCTAAACCCGGCATTGCCCACCCAAACCACAACCAACCAAAACAACAAAACGCAAACATAACGCTAACACAATTACAAATACAAACGAAAACAAAAACCTAACAACAAACCCAACCACAACCACAAACACCAATACAAACACAAAGAAAAAACAAACAAAAAAGCAAACGAAAACAATAACCTAACAACAAACCCAACCACAAACACCAATACCAACAAAAAAAACAACAACTGCTGCCTTGTAGTTTGTTCTTGGTTGGACAAAGGCTATGGAAGCAAATCCAAAAAGAAAAGCAGGCTGAAATCGGAGTCAATGGCCTCAATGGCGCATAACCAGTTGACACGTAACGCTTAATTGTGTTGGAGGCGTGGTCGAGTCGGCAAAAAGCTCATGGTTGATAAATTCGAACAAAGTCTCGAGACTGGCAGATAAATCTCGATCCCCTTCAACACTAATAATTAAGAACGAAGAAGAAGAAGAAGAACAAAAAAAACAACGAAAAAGCAAACGAAAACAAACCAAATCCAAACGCAAAACCAACCAAAAACACAAATACAAACCCAAACAAAGAAACACAAACAAAAACGAAAAAAGAAAGAACAAAAACGAACCAAATCAAAACGCAACCACTAACGCAAACCCACCTAAACACAAAGAAAACACTAACGCGAACATAAACGCCCGGGGCGGAATCACCTGTTTTAGCTTAATGAACGACTATAGTACCCCAACTTATTCATAGTCTTTTGCACTCACTTAAACGAACGCGCCTGTTTCAATTTGATGAACAATTTTAATACTCCAAGCTTATCCGTAAAATACCTACAACATTTGCACTTGATCAATCCCCGCTAATTATGTAATTATTTTTTTTTCCCAACACCAAAACAAAGTAATTAAAAAGTAAATTATTTTCGACTAATGCAATGGTTTTATAAAGGGAAGTAATTTTGTTTTCCTAATTTATCAAAGGGAAGTAAGTGCTATAGGACTAAATAAAGACATAATTAGAATTTTTGTAAAAGATGATATTTTTTTTTAAACTTGTGTTTAATGAACATGCCGACAATTATTACTGTAATTTGAAAAATGAAAATGATTTCCCAACACTTTCAATGGTAATTTTTTAGCTCATAAATTTAGACAAATGCGCACGATAATTTTCTAACACTTAAATTCGTACAATTCCAACGACATACAAATGCATTACATACAGAACTGAGCTTTATATATTATATATATATATATATATATATATATATATATATATATATATATATATATATATATATATATATATATATGTGTGTGTGTGTGTGTGTGTGTATAGGTATATGTATATACATGTTTCCAGTTCGTCACAGTCACAGAAAAGAAACCAAATTATAATGGTCATTTTCTTTGGTTTAATTTGGCAAGCCAGGCGACATGACGTATCAGCGTAGCAAATTGTTGGCCAGGTGCTGAAGACATCTCCCTGTCAGTTGCAAACAGGAACATTTATCTTCGGTCGATCTCGGCCAGTGTAATGCTAATATCTTTCTAAGAAAAACCATTATGGCCTATTATATAATTAAAAATTATTGGTGACCTATATGTCAAGACATTATCTCTCTCTCTCTCTCTCTCTCTCTCTCTCTCTCTCTCTCTCTCTCTCTCTCTCTCTCTCTCTCTCTCTCTCTCTCTCTCTCTCTCTCTCTCTCTCTCTCTCTCTCTCTCTCTCTCTCTCTCTCTCTCTCTCTCTATATATATATATATATATATATATATATATATATATATATATATATATGTTACGGTCAAAGCCCGAAGTGCGGCCAAAGTACGCATTGGTCGGCCATTGTGCGCATTTGCCAGCTATCTTGGCCATAGCCCGAAGGTCTTAGAACTGAGAGCTTAATTTGTACATTGACCGGCCAATGCGCGCACTTGTCGGGACGCTCTAGCCAAAGCTAGAAGACCTATAACTTGACAGCGTATTTCATACATTGGCCAGCTAGTGCTCACACTGGCCTAGATGTCCTATCTAGACTAAGTTGTGATAGTTTTTGGCCGGTAGTCCCTAGCCAGATGATCTTTTAATTATGACTTTGACCGGTCCACCATGGCCAAAGGTTGAAATCAAGAGCCATTTCTGACTTTCAAGTTAAGTTTCTTGCTTTGGCCGACTTCGGGTTTGACCGTAACACACACACACACACACACACACACATATATATATATATATATATATATATATATATATATATATATATATATATATATATATATATATATATATATATATATCAGAATAGGGGCTAGGCCTAATGGTGTCATCTGTTAGTGGGGTAAAACATTGATTTGACTGTAAATATTTCAAATTTTCGATTTGATGCCAACCCCTTAAATAGTGTCACCTGGTGCGGACCGTACCTCATTCACCGCCTTGTGACTGCCAAGGCCTACTACTTACCCTGGGATTACCTGACACTGTTTCAATAGATTTGCCCATAATATTACTTAGCAGAAATTTTTTTCCACATATTATTATTAATTCCAGGAGGAGAAGGCGAGGAAAACAAACAAGAAAATGGCTAACGGACACTAAGGAATGGACTGGACTGTTTTTGTTTTTTTTTGTAGTGTAGATTTATTAAAACTACTTTGACTGTTCGACTATATAACTATATACTTAGTATATAGATCTACTATATAGTTCAATCAAACCCGGTTTAAGAACCGCTGAAACTTCAACTTAGTAGACAGCAAATAATGATTTATACTTTAAAACAGTATGATACTATGCTGCAGTTTTTGTTTTGGTAGTTATGTAATTCTGTGTAATATTTTGTCCATTACTTAACGAGACTAATTTAGTTAGTCACAGTTTTAGACAAAAGGTTGATCTACTATAATTTCTAAGCAATATATAATATAGTAGCCTCCCTTGTTAGTAACCTTGACATTTATTTGCTAAAACTAAAACTGAAAGTAAAACTAAACCTAGCACAGCCGACCTAGCATCTTAAATTCTTATTCTTAGTTCTAGTTTCATAGTTTGATCTAGAACTATAGGGGGCCTATGTAGTATATGCCTTTAAGCCTTTATTTTATTATAGAGATCTAGAAAACATTCTCTAGTTTAGTTTTTTAGTCCTATTATATCGATGCTAATGATAATGTTTTAGTACCAGTTTACTGAGTTTAGCTAATAAAAAGTAACAATTCTAGTTTTAAGTTGGCCGCAAGTTAGTGAAAAGTAAAAGTTTATTTTTTTAATCTCCTTTAATATTTAAACTTTAGACTTTAGGTCTTTACTCTCTAGTTAGTCTTCTTTCTTTAGTCTTTAAGTTTTAAGTAGGCCTAAGTCTTCATTGACTTTATTTTAATACTTTTAACTTGTTAGTGATAGTGTAGTGATGACGTAGTGTAGTAGAATAGATCTAGATCTAGACTCTAGATCTAGATCTAGATTAGATTCTAATTCTAGTGGCCGTTAGATTTTTTAAATTTTTAACGAAATTGCACCATCTTAAATCAAAATGAAATGCTCGTGAAAAATGTGTATGGGGGGGGGGGTCATCCATCAATGATTTTTTTTGGACGATTTTTTACCTCCTCCCTTCCCCTCCGTCACATATCGCCACTCCCCCCTACGAGTGTGACGTCATTTATGGACAACCCCTATGACAATGTTGAATTTCCTTACTTTGTCACTTATTTCACTAAGGCCTAAATAATGTATTTATAAAATGATTAGCCTAAATTTGCCTAAAAATAACTTTCGAACCCCTCATCCTCCTTTCTTTCAGGCAGTTATTTTCTATTCTAGGCCTAATAAATGTTTCCTATTTACTATTTTGTGAGGGGGGAATGTCCCCCTCTGTTCTTGAATAGATTACTGAAAGAAGGGTTTGGGGGGTGGGGGTATTTTCTGGATTTATGTAATAATAATATAATATTTAATAATGTCTTAAATTATTATTAATAGTCCTAATGATATATGAAATTATTTTGTAAAGGTATTTGGTGGGGAGCACAACCCATTGTGTCAGATTTTTTATGTTAGGAATATGATTAACCGTTAACATTTCCTATAATTATTTGTAGACCTTGTAGTAATTAGTTAATGAGTAGTAACTTAATACTAATTGTTTTTTTTAGAGTTTTTACACTACAGTAGCATCCCCTTTATTTTTGGAATGGCCCTATTGATAGTGAGAAGTGACATTTAAAAATGCACCTCATGTAGATTTACTACTTAACATTAACATATTTTAAATAGCCATTGGTTACCCACATTTCTTTATTTCATATTTTACCTGAAGGAGACTGATCAAAATTAACTAATATTTCAATCATTATAAAGCTGCTTCACTGGTAAAAATACTCAAACCCCCAACAATACACTCTCAGTCGGACTATCTATGGCCTACCATATTGCTTTAAAGTTATTTAAACTTTAAAGTAGTTCTTACATTTATAGACTATTTCTTTAAAATAAAAAGGATGAAAAACATGCTTATATTGATTACAGTGTGTTTGGGGAAGGAAGGGTTTGCATCATCTAATTAGTAGGATTTATTTTTGTTGGGACATGTTACAAAAGAAGGATCTGAGAAAAAATGCAGAAATACAGAAACATTTGTTGATTACTGACCACTTTCATTTTGTTATTTGCAATTGTACTATACAATGAATTTATTTTATTTGTTATTAAGTTAATTTAATTTTTTCTGTAAGATAATTCATGAGGTGTATTTTTATCCCTTACAGGTGAGTGAATGGAAGCTGACATGATGTTGTCTCGCTTCAAAGGATGTCTTGTAGGTGCTCTCACTGGCGACTGTATTGGAGCTAAATTTGAAGGCCAAAGTTATGTGAAACTTAGGCATGTTTTGGAACATGTGGAGAAAATAAATGATAGTAATATATTTCTTGATACTGTACTATATTCTGTTACTTAGATTACACAGTATTTAATTGAGGTAATTTTTCTACCATAATTGCAAACGAGTAAAGGTTAGTGTTAGGGCACTATTACAACAAGGTTAGAGCTCAGTTAGCTTGTGATAGAACAAACACGAGCTTAGATTCTGTTTTACCTCTGTTCATAGAAGTACCATTATCCCTGCGTAGTTTCTGTAAGTTTATATCAAACTTTAAAAAATGTGTCTTATCAGACAGGCTTGAACAGAAAAAGAATGGGACTAGACCAGCCGATGTTTACTGCCATACCTACACAGATGACACAGCTATGCTAAGAAGTGTGGCATACTCACTCCTTGATAAACATTCTTTTGATGCCAGGGATATGGCAACCAGGTGACTTACTTGATGTGACTTACAAACTGATAGTAAAGTTTATAGCATGCCATGATTAAGATTTTTACAGGAGACTATGTTATGAATAAACATGTTAAATCATTTTATTCTGTTATTACCAGGTTTGCAAAGGAATTTGATAAAGAACCACAAAGAGGGTATGGTGGCAACATTCCTGTGGTATTTAAGGCACTACTAGATCCAAATTTGACAGATGTATTTTTGCCAGCAAGTCAACAATTTGATGGAAGAGGTTCCTATGGCAACGGTGGGGCAATGAGAATAGCCCCTGCCCCTCTCTTCACATTTGTAAACAATGACATCTCCAAACTTATGGTTTGTTGTATTTTTGTACTGCTAAATTTTAGTCTTGACATACAGTTTTATTTTTTCACATTATAATTCTAGTGTTGCAATGTATTTTGTAATTTGCCAGCGTTTATTTCATTCAAATTTTGCTCTGGTTAAATATAAGAAGGAAACAAATCTATCTCTTTCTGAAATAAAGGGAATTCACTGAGTGTTCAGAGTTGTTGATAATGTACCAGGCACCGACCTGCAACTTTTTTAGTATCATATATCACTTATTACAGTGAAGAAGTGCTCTCTTGATGGCCTACACAATTTAGCATTAAAAGAATAAAACACAATATATATCTTGGAACAGAACTTACCTGTTATGGTAATTATTAATTAGGATGTGTAAGTAATAGGATCAACATTAAATAATAAATATTTATTTTATAATAGCATCTAGTCACTGACATTACACGGATTACACACAGCCACCATTTAGCCATCAATGGTGCTATCCTTCAAGCACTAGCAGTTGACCAAAGTCTTAGATTACCAGTGTCCAGTCACGTAGATGCTGACAGCTTTCTTGACTCACTTATATCTAAAATGAGGCCAGTTGAAGAGAAAAATTTGAACTCTTCACCATCTCAACAAACTAAATCTGGGAAACCTTCAAGGCAAGTATTTTCAGCATTCAAGAATTTTAATAGTGAAACAATTGTTAATATAAATGAGATAGCCCTAAAAAAAATTCTGATTTTTGAAAAAAATACTTTTATTGAAGAAGTGATTGTATACAAATTTGTTGTCTAAAATAAGTGGTTGGTAAAATGCAGTTCAAACATTTAAAAATTATTTTAAAATTATGCATTGCTTAACATCTGCTACTCTTGAAATTGGTGGAAAGAATAAGTTGACGTAACTTCTTTAACATTCTTTTCATCCATTGGGCTACATAGTTTTTTTCTAATGTAGGCCCATTGTATATAAATATAAGTAATTTAGCAGCAATATTTTAATGTTATATTTTTAGCTCTAGTCTTTGGTTCTATACAGTTTTCATGAAGTCTTGCAGACTGATTTAGATTATAAAGTTTTTATGTGTACACTGTCTATAGCAATGAGAAGTTCACTCTTTGACAAAAAAGTTAAATGTCTTTATGAGAGCAGGAATGGGATGGTGTGGCCTAGCGGTAGAGAGCTAGACTGATAACCCATAAGTCTCGAGTTTAAATTCAGGTTGTAATAAGTTGAACGTCCCTGAGTCCAACCAGCTCTGATATGTAACTAACTCATGTTAGGGAAACAAAGGTGGCTGTGCATAGTGCTGACCACGCTATCTCTTCATATGCTGAGATCTCTGAAGCAGATAAACTCTACTTCATCTGTCCCATGTGTCTTGGGCACAAATGGGAAATGATGATGATGAGTGTAGAAACAGGATGAAGGATAATTGCCTAAATTTGTAGCCAAGCATATACTAAGTAGTAACTAAAGTATAATTACAGCTTGTTCAGTTAACCACATTTCTTATTTTCTTATTCACAGTAAAAATAAAGCTGGTATGTAATAAGAATTGGAAAAAAAAAGTTAAACTTTTACAAATTTTTAATTCTTATTTATGAATTTTTACTGGCCTGGCTAGCATTTAGTGCTCTGGCAACACTGATTGTTACATTGCCAGATAACACTTCAGACAACTGCATTCATATGCTCCCTTATTATTTCATTCTAGTTTACAAACACATTTTTAAAAAATCTAATTTTCTCTATTTAATTATTGTATTATTTTCTGTAAATTACAATTTAAAGCTTAGTAGCATAAGTATAAAAATGTTTATTTAAATATATTAGAAATGTATAAAATATTTATTTGAATACATTTGAAATGTGTACTATATGCTACAATTAAATTTTTTAGACTGAATGTCTTCAAAGTAAGCTAGTATTTTGAAAGTGCTGAGGTGAAGCTGTTTACTTGATCCAAGAAGTGTTGATAAAAAAGCTTATTAACACAATTGTTTGTAATACAATTTTTTGAAGGACCCCCCCCCCCCCCCACAAATATTTAATCTTTGCTTGAATATTTTACCACAAAAATTCATTCTCATCCTCCAAAAGCTCCTAATATAACTGAGTTCACAATGAAAATCTGGTGCATTTTAGATTAACAGATTGTTTATGTTCTAATGACAATTATCTCCCATATTAAGAATCAGGGGAAGCAACGTAGAATTAAATCTGTATTTGGGGAATAATAATAAAGTCATGCAAAAAATTATAAGTGTTATAACTTAACTAAATTTTAACATTTTAGTAAATCTCATTTTGTAAATTTCTCCAATATCATTACATTTATTTTAAAATTAAAACAAATGTAATGAATTTATAACATACATTTAAACATGCTAATAAGAACTGCTTTAATTAGTCCAGTCACATGGGAGCACTGTGAATAACAAAAGATATCTTCTCTTGTCTTCTGTACAATTATATCGTCAAGTATCTAAATATATTGTTTTCATTTTTACAGAGCCTTGGATCAAAACCCCACACCTTACTGTGCCAAGCTGGAAAGAATGAAAGAATTTTTAAAAGATCATTCCTTGTCTAAGTCAACAGTTGTGGATGAACTAGGTAACTTTTAAAACAAGTCAACTTTTAGCAACTTGTATGACTAACAAACTAGTGAAGTGTTTGTTAGTGTTCAACGTAAAGCCTACATTATGCTTAAATAATTTTGGTTTATGAGATCATTGTTTAGATTAGTACTGGTATATTTACATTTAAAGTTATGTTTTTACTAATTTTTAGTTGGTATTTATATATGTTAATTGAATTAATTGTTTGTTTACATTTGTTACACTTGTCAGAATTTACATATGTTAATTGAATTAATTATGTTTGTTCACATTTGTTACAGGTACTGTTGTGTAGTATTTACATACATTCATTGAATTAATTGTGTTTGTTCACATTTGTTAGACAGGTGCTATTGTTTAGTATTTATTGAATTAATTGTGTGTTTACACTTGTTACAGGTACTGTTGTGTAGTATTTACATTGAATTGTGTTTGTTCACATTTGTTAGACAGGTGCTATTGTTTATTGAATTGTGTTTGTTCACATTTGTTACAGGTACCGATGTGAGTGCACTGGGATCTGTGCCTGCAGCCATTTTTGCTTTTTTAAAATCAGCCACCCAAAACATTCCTAAGCTTGAGGTGAGTCTTGTAATCAATAATCAATACCTATTTAGCAAAATATTAACTTTTAAAATTTTTTTTGTTGTTGGTTAATTATCAAATTAGCAAGATGCTATTATATTTCAATGTAGTTCATTTTGTAGTATACTTAATAGAATTCTAGAAATTGTTACTGAAGGAAATAAACAACATTATTATTAATAGCCATAAGTTTTAGTTTTAGAAGGAATGTTATTTTTGCAACTGAATATAAATGTAGTAAATGTTAACTCCTTTAATTTTTTATTTCGGAGTCACTTTTTGTAAAGATTTTTTATTTTGTTTGATTTTTTCGTTAGTGAACAGCTTAAGTCATAGACTATTTCATAGTCAAATTAAGCATAAAGCTAGCTTTACTGGAAAAGAACTCTAAATTTATCACATTGCCAGTCATTTCAAAGCTTTGTTCATAAAGAAAAACTGCCAGATATCACAGAATTATAATAAATCTGTGAATTACTGGTTTTCACATAATTATTTAGTTAATTTAGTCATCATTTTGTGCGTTGTACTACAGGAGTACATGGGGATGGCTGATGATACTGAAAATTTTAGTAGACTTTAAAAGCTCCTAAAAGTTTCTATCTGAATACTTTATTCACATTTTGTAGAAAGTGAACAGCTTTGAGAAATCCATCCTGTATGCCATATCCCTGGGAGGGGACACAGACACTGTGGCTACCATGGCTGGGGCCATCGCTGGAGCCTTCTACGGCCTGGAAAGTATTCCTGAGCCATGGCGCTATTATTGTGAAGGGGAGGCTGATGCTGAATGTATGGCTGAGAGGTTTTTTGAAGCATTTACAAGTCCAGCATCTAGTAATGACCAGTGAATTGAGATTTTAGCTTTTTATAAAATAAGTATTGTTAGCAGTTTGTCCATTGTTTTTACTAAATCGTTTTTAATACACATTTTAGATAAATTGCACAGCCGTTTAGCCATATTAGCAATTTATTAAGATTTAATGGATTCTAATTTTACAACACTTGATTATTCAATATTTTAAAAAATATTTGATTTTTAACAAAAACAATAAGCAGCAAAGGCGGATGTATATTTTGCAAATAAAATTGACAATAAACTCATAAAATTGTCATTTTTTGTATGGGAGTTTATTGTGCTTATAAAGAGATAGACAAAGAATTTCCTGCTAACTACTCTCAAAACTAAAATAACTAGACCAAGCAAAAATACAGCAAAAAATTGTTTTATTCAAACTTAAGCATGGATATAAAAACATGATAGTCATTAGTCGGAGTCTGAAGAAGATGATGAGCTGCTGCTGCTTGATCCAGCCAGACCTTCAAAGTGATATCTGTAAGGAATTATTCAAATCAAGTGGAAAATCTGTATGTAAAAATCATCCTCCCCACCCCTAATATCATTATTGAAACTAAGATCACCACCTCAATAGATGGAAGCTTAAAGATCCTATTCAATTGACATGACCCCCAACCCAAGGTTTTACTTTATGTGTAATGATGACCTACCTTTCTTGTTCTGTCAAGTCCAAAGTCTGCAGTGCTTGCTCTACTAGTGGAGAAACTTCTTCATAGTCTAAACTTAGCATCAGATTCAGCACTTCCTAAAATATAGGGGAAGTAACCAACTATTACAGATATGCCCCATAATATGCATCGGATTCAGCACTAAAACAAAAACATTGGGAACTACTTTTTAACTCAATATTTCTAGAACATTCAAGAGAATACAAATCTCTACTGTAGACTGTGAATATAAGGTGTTTAGTACAGTTAACCTGAGATTTTAAACCATATGATTTACCTTATGGTATTATAAGATTTCTGAAAGGTAGTGTGTGAAGGAGGGGGGCGTAAAAAGGGATGACTAATAAAGATTCCAATTTACAGCATAACATATATTTGGAGGTGGGCGAGACTTATGAAGAGTGTTTTAAGGAAGTTTTTTAAAGTGTGAGAGTGTCAGGAATAGGGATGGCTATGTAGGAATGTAAGAATGAGTGTTGTAACTAATTTAAACATATACTAAGCTATGTTTTACTGTACATTTCCAACTACCTAACACAGTTCTAAAAGAAGTCTGACCTTTGTCTGGTCAACACTTTTAGCTTGGATCAAATTCTCACACAACTGCTTCAGGTTGTTAGCACTATGGAGTAAAAATTGGAATGGTTTTCATTGGCTGATGTATGGTATCATCATTCTAGTGAAACAGTAGGAATGAAAAAGTGAGAAAAGTTTAGAATCTTTAAAAAAACAAAAAAAAACAACAAAAAGCCTTGACTCTTTACCTTGGATTGGTTACCTTCATATCTTTTCTGTCTTGATACAGCTTGAATAATTCCCTGAAAAGGTAAGTACAGAACATCAAAAACTGGTTGACACATACCTAGTTTAAAAAGATAACATTTTCTAATTTAAAATTCACAAACAAATGATTTGGTGAACAAAAGCTCTGTATTTTTCATTACATAACATTTTTTATGGGTATGGGTAAACAGCTTAATCAGGGTGGCCAACCAATCTAGAAAATATTTTAATTTATTCTCATACAGTACCGATTATGTTTGCAAACATTACGTAGTTATTATGCTACCTTTTTTTTAGCTTCTATACAAAACATTTATATACATATTTTTACTTTTTAAATTAGTAAAAACTTCTTTACTTTAATTAGTAAGCTTATTATGTTAAACAAAAGTTAATGCAAGAATCTTCACAGTATGCTGTGATTTGCCATTATTTGCATCATCATGGGTGGAATCTACCCCTACACAAGAGCACGTATTCACGAAAATATGAGAAAAAGCAAAATTTTGTGTAAAAGTAAAGATGACTTTAAAATTTTACCAGAATTACCTTAGTTAAAGAACTAGGGAAGCCAAAATTTTGTGACACTGATCATTCAAGGTGAAATCAAATAATATGCCTAGGGCAGGTACTTAAAACTCAAAATGGGTGGGTTACACTTCCTTTGAATGTTGAAGGTTAAATCTTCCAGTGTTAATGTATTTCAATGAAATAAAAAAACAAACTACAACAGTAACACAGCTGTACTTAAATACACATACCAGGCTGTAACTAGATCATTGTTGTTCAGAAATACAACAATAAAATCACCAAGGACTGAACCACTAATGCTGAAAATAAAAAACAACAAGAAATGTAACATGGTATGTGATAAATATACTAAAAATAACTATCTCTACAATATGGCCAAGTGAGGTAAAATAAAAAAGCCAACCAACATATGCTAGTTTACCATCCAACACAAAGTAGGATAAAACTAAAAAAAAAACAACCAGCATACACTAGTTTACCATTCAATACAAAGTCAAATAAAACAAAAATAAAACAACCAACATACGCTAGTTTATCATGTGACATTGAACCAACTTTTTGTTCCCAATTTTTCAACATGGACCTGGCAATATCACAGAGTTCACCTTGTAGCTGAAACAAATTATAACTTCACTATAATAATCAACTATTAATTATAAGTATCACTATAACGATCAATAATAAACATCACTATAATAATCAACTGTTAATTATAAGTATCACTATAATAATCAATGATAAACATCATTATAATGATCAATGATAAACATCACTATAATAATCAATGATAAACATCACTCCATTCAATAAAGTCTGTACACATCCCCTAGCTGCTACAAACCATTTCAACATAAACCAAGATATAAGTTAATTCACATATCAAACACCCAACTGCATGAAATATAGTAGTAAAAAAAAATCTAATTACCTTGGGTTCTAGCTTTTGCTTGGACATAGCATTTGTGAAGGCTGATATTAATGTTTCATCTTTAAACATATTAGACATACTGAGTTCTAGAAGGAAAATAAAAACATTGCTGATATCATGAGGTCAGTTTACAATGAAAATAAATACATTGCTGATATAATAAGGTCTATCTAGAATTATCTATCTAGAATTAAAAAAAAAACATTTATCTAAAATAGATACAAAGTGTTCATCATAAGGAAAATTGTGTCACCAAGAAACTGCTTGTGTACAATACAATAGTGAGTGCATGGAAACACATTAACCAATTTGTAAAAAAAATAAAAAACTAGGCATACCTGCATACAATACTGGCAGGTAGTGGTAGCTGTCATACATGACCAGGCTCTCCAAAATAGACAAGTAGGTCTCTACATTTGGTACATAAATCTAAACAAAATAGATATGTGTAATGTAAAACAGATTAAACAGTGGATAGATTCTAGGTCAAGATATTAGGGCATTAGTTAGTTACATGCAGTAATTCTAGTGACAATGTAGCTATTTGAATGGATAAATCCACCTCTTTAATTACTAGGTATAAAACTTTATACAAGAAATGGATGTGTAACACATGAAATAAATGTTTCTATACACTAAAAACATAAAAAAATAGTATGATTTTGAAGTAAGACTTAAATGAAAAGATTCATAAATTATCATTCTATTAAGAATTCCCCATATAAATTATTATTCTATAAAGACTTAGAAATATAAATTATCATTCTATAAAGACTTACAAATGGGACGACACTCTGATACAGTTTCATGGTTTCATCAATGTGTTCCAGCTGTATAACCAGGTGAAACAGGTCATTACTGAAACAAAGATTCTTAGCTATATCGGTCTTCATTATATTTCAGATTCCTCACTTTGTAATCAATACATTTTAAAACATAAGTACGATAAGTCAGATTCATGAATTATGCACCCAGAATCATATCTATCTCAACTTTTTTTTTCTGGAAAACAAAACAGATTCAGTTTAAAAATAAAACTCATCAATAGGAACATATATATTTATAAATAGGAAGTATACTTTTTATTAAATAATTTTGTAAAAAATTATTTTACTACAGTATAAAAACTATCAGCAAAAAATGTAAATGTTGTATTATTTCAGTAATTTTTAGGTAGCACTTCTCATATATTGTGGTAAAACCTTTAAAGAACTTTATTTAAAGTCATTTCACTTTTGACTAAAATAATATATATTTTATTTAGTCCTTTTCGGGTTTGAAATCTGGAAAAATGAGCTAAGGAACTGTGCTATGCTGTCTAACAAAGTTTTGTCAAACCAGTCAAGTGTAACTAGGATTTAATTAGGAAAGATACACGAGTTCTCAGAAACTGTTAGTACCAAATATTTTTTATCCGCCATGACCAAATGGTCAAGACTAGGGTCTAAAAAATGGATTTTGACACTACCTGCTAACCAGTTACAAGAAAAGCAATTTTTTTCAGTAAAAATAATTCTAATAACATCAATTGGTAGAGCGATGCAAGTGTAAAAAGGTTATTATTCATACAAGCAAAAGAGCATTGCAAAACGTGTTCACAATTTCTAACTTACTAATAACCATATTGCAGCTGCCGATGACCAATCAAGTCACTGTTTTTTCCAGTTGTGGCTATCTTGTGGACTCGTAGTGCCAGTGTGGATTCAGGGAAAAATGTTGATATCTGTTTTTTTAATAAGAAAGATTTTACTCAAACTGTGTACACTATGATAGCATTATTAAAAACAGGAAAATTGATTGAAATAAAAAATGAAATATTTAAACCTACCACTCTCATAGCATTTCTGAAAAATAAACCTGAAAAGTAAAACAATTTGTATTTTGAAAATTGTTCACATGTATTTACATTTATAATAATGTAATAATGAAGTATCTCTTTAATATAGACAATATTAGACAATAAAAGCAAAATATCTGTGAAAAGATTTTTAAAAAAATGTTTCTAGTAATTTAATAGAATCTATTAACAAAATTAATTTTAAGTAAAAACTTACCATCATTTTGTGAAGTACATTGAAATTCTTTGCCTTCAATATCATCAAGGATCTCTAAAAACAATGTTGGATCCTTGGCTACTCTTTCTACAGAAAGTAAAACATTTTTTAAGATTAATAAAGCAGGAAACTTTTTTATGTTTGATAATTCAGAAACAAATATATACTTGTAAGTAGAATAATTATATACCTGAGAAAGCAATGATGTTGACTAGACACACAGTACCACACAGTAGTACAATTATAATTATGCATGAAAACACAACAATAGTTTTAGCTAGACTAGAAAGGTAACAATGGTCTGTCTTCAGGACAACACAGCAATATTATTTAGCTAGATAATACAGTATCACATCTTTGTACATGATATTGAAAACACAACAACAGTTTTAACTTGAGTAGAAAGGTAGCAAATTTTAAGATAGACAATACAGGTAGCATAATTACATGCTTAGTATAGAAATTAATAAAAAAAAACACAATTGAGATAGTGGCTGTTAATTTACAATTAAAGAATAAACACATACCTTTAGAGTAGTAGAAAATATTCAATAGATCAGTGTAGGTCCCCAATGATGGTTCTGTAAGGAAAAAAAAACATAAACAAAACTTTTAGAAAACATTCACTCACCATTAAAAATAATAAAATCCCCCACTGACATGCTGACTGAAAGAGCCTATTGAAACTGACCTACACCACAAGCTTTCATCTCAGCAAAGACAGAGAGAGCAAATTTCTTAGCACCAGACCATTTTGAGACCCGTCTGCAGTTGAACAGGATAGAGTTGAAGGTTTCCACATTCGGCCTTATGTTGAGGGCTGCCATTTCCTTCAGTAAACCCTGCAACAGTACAATACAAGCAATTACTCATCATGGATGGGTACCACCGTAGGAAGAAAGCAGCCCAAGTGTATACAGTTTCTAAGTGTGGAGAAAAATGAACAATTAAAAACATGTTAGCAGCGACTAATAAAAAGTATGTTTAAAAAAAATCTTCTTAAGTTTTTTCAAATATTAGGTAGTATTTGACTTAACCGTTGACTGTACTATGCATCAGAATACTCTGTTTTTTGGTAGTACTGTGCCTAAATGTCTGCAAACAACTACTTTTGTTTCCATATAGCCACAGGGCACTGTTAACGAGATTTCCAAAGATTTGCATGCAAGCAGGAAATAATTTTTATTTACATGTTTTATAACAAGAGGCTAGTTTTGATTAATGTTTTAAAGGTTCGTTATTCTTTTTTGAAAGGAAGCACTGGCAATGTATTAGTGAATTAGTGTAATGAAAACGAATTAAAATGCCACTGATAATGGATTGGACTTTGATTACAATGTATACAATATAATGATTTTGAAATAAAAATAATTTCAGTTATGATGTTGAATATTTTATTAAAAAATTTTAATAGAATAAATAGAAAGTGATTTTAAACAAACTGTTTTGCTAGTTTTGATATTATTATTATTTTTAATTTGTAAATCTTGTGTTTTTTTTTGTATTAATTATGTACCAAATAGGTATATTTTAAACTAATTTTAAAAAGAGTAAAGGCTTAAAGAAACATTACCTCAATTTCTTGTGTGATCACATCAAAACTATCATTGTCTAATGAAATAACAGCCAGTAACAGGTTATAAGTGTAAACATCAGCTGAGGACAGATGTGATCATCTTCACAGTATATTGGTACATCTATGTTCCAGAAGTGTACAGAAAAATGAATGATGTGTACAAAAAATTTTAAATTGTGTATAAAACTATGCTTTATTAACATGAAGACAACTGTTTTAATATTGTACACAAACTGTTTTAATACACTTTTTAAATTAATTTTTTCCATTATATAAACACATGAAATCAAATTTCTTTGTATAATTTAGCACCAAAACAACAAATGTTCTGTGTAAAGTTCTAAGTTAAGGCAATGACTGTGAAACAATAAGGTTGAGAGAGTAACAAATGTTGAGATTGAAAACAAAATTACCTTGAAAATTGGCAGATTTCATTTCATTGTACATAGCCATAGCACTTTTCTTGTCAAAGTTCTATTGAATAAAAAATTAGTTACAAATTTTTCCTTGTCACAGATCTATATCACAGATTTAAAAAATAGAAAAAAAAGATTAAAGGATCGAAACAAACACACGAAACTTTGACCTCTACATTTAGCCATTAGGATTTTAATTCTAATTTTATAAAATATTATGGTTGCAAATATTATGGTTGCAGAGGAATGTGCTGAGGAAGTTATTAAGTTCATGGTGTATTTGTAACTAAATAATATATTCCTAATCTAGTAAATCTATAGCAGATGCAAAATTTGGAAACTTTAAACGGTGTGCACACACCCAATACCATCAAAACCTGCATCTAACTATAAAATTGTAAACTACATTCAGTCTATGAAAAGCAAGTGTACACACTAAGAAAAACAACTTACGGCAGCCATCCCTCTAATGATGTTGTTGTAAGCAGTGGCAGTTTTTTCTGGGAGTGAATTAAAAACTTGCTCTGCTATATTGCCTTTCCTGAAAATATAATTTTAAAGTTTTAACATGATGTACTAAAAATATGAAAAATTCCACTTTCATTGAAATAAAAGTTACTTTAACTAAGCTCTACCAATATGTTTAGAGCATACAACTGCTAACAAGAAAGTCTCGAGTTCAAATCTGGATTCAAGTCAGTACATGTCCTTGAGTCTACCCAGCTCTTAGTTGCCATAACTGAAGGTATCACCCAACTCCCTTCTAACAGTTTAGCATTTTCATTTTGTCGCAATATTTTATCATTGTAACTGGATAAAACGTTTTGAAATTACATTTTACCATGTTTTAAAATTTGGTGTCAACTGGCATGGACCGTACCCCCTACCTTGTGACGCTTCTGACACAAACTATGTTTAATAAGCAAATGATTTAACTTACATTCACAAAAACTGTATAATACTCAAACGACCAATAACGGTCTAAATGTAAATCACTTACTCCCAAGTGCATTGTGGGAATGGTGAGTGTTTGGGCACCTGCAATGCTTCAATAAAGAGAGAGCAATCGTCCTCATTGTTTGGATTTGAGCAGTTGTATACAGTCAGTAATTCTAGAAATTTCTCCTGCACTTCTTGACTCAGTTGAATTTCTTAAAAAAAAAATGTTTTTGTTTGAAATAATTTTGCATAAAACTATAAGAAATTAGCTAGAAGATACTTTAAACTAAAAATTCAGGTATGTAGAGTATACATGTACATGAAAGAAAATAGAATTTATTATGTCTACTTCATGAAAAACTTTTAGATTTTAGGAAAGGGAGTAAAATATATACTTTCTGCTTTTGCTTTCTTGTAGACTTGAATGGCATCAGTTATGTTTTTCCTTTTCATCCTTTCCAACAAGGCTTCTTCTGAAGCATCTTTGTGAATATATTCTTTAAAAAGGTCTTCCCAAGCCTGAAAAATATTTTGTTAGACTTCACTGTTTCATTGTTTGGTGATAGATAGCATGTCTCAACTTTGACATTGATTCTGGCCAGATTTTTATAAAAATAAAGCACACAAAATCTTACCTCTGGCATGGGCTCTGGCCAGATTTTTGTAAAATAGTCAGGATACATAGATATCATCATCCTGGCAGTTTTTTGACCACTTCCTTTAGCAGCAATAAAATTTTTCTAAAACAATAAAAAAAATTAAATTCTTTAATATTTGGCTTTGAAGCACCAATTAAACAATTAACAATATTCCCTTGTTTTTCATAACCAATCAATGTAAAAATAACAACCTATTTTATTGAAGTCATTTGACTATAAACAGATTATTATAATATATTGCTAGCGGCAAAATAAAGTTGTCAAATGCTCCCTCACTGCCCTACTGGCGGGATAAGTTGACATTAGCTGGTTATGTATCATGTATGAGAGAGTGAAACCTTAGTAAACTTACTTTTACTCTGTCTGATGTGGCATATAAGTAAGGGTCATCAATCGATGCATGCATTGGTTGATTAACATCCTGTAAATGATTGAATTACATTGCATTATCACATTTTACATATATTGGTCTTCAGAAAATATTTTTCTGTGATAAATAGAAAGGGAGATCTTACTGGATGGCTTGCTACCTAGTTGACTACTACACATTATCTAAAGATCTTATTGGATGGCTTCCAATTTAGTTTACTGCTCCACATACAGGAAGATATTAATGAATGGCTTTCTGTCTAATTAACAGCTAAACAAATTATCTAAAGATCTTATTGGATGGCTTTCTACCTAGTTTCAAAGTTGGCAGTAATGGCTAATATCCTCAGTGTGGTGCTGTGACATGTGTGAAAGGTGTGTAAGTGGAATCAAATATTGTAAAATGTGTACGTATTTTGATTAATGTATAATTAGACAGTAATCAAATATTGTAAACTATGGATGTATTTTGATTAATGTATAAATAGACAGTTTAAATATTGTAAACTATGTATGTATTTTGATTTATGTATAATTAGACAGTCCAAATAATGTAAACTGTATGTATTTCAATGATTGTATAATAAATTATTGGACTGTTACATCTGTGCATGTTGGTGCTGTACAAAGTGAGCGCATTTAACAGAGAAAGCCATTTGGTTGAGCTACGTGGAGTGTGTTGTGGAGGGAAAAATGGAAGGATACTGAGGAAAAAGGGTCAAAAGTGATTGATGCTTGGGAGAGCTACGGGTGAGTAATTGGGTAGAGAAGCCAGTGTATTTGGGATTAAAGAAGAGGAGTTTGATTAATCAGATGTTGTATTTTAGGCATATTGTTGTTAAGTCAATTCCTGTTGGAATCCCAGAACCCACCCATCACCCCCACCCCCGGATGAAATAGAAATAAATAAATAAATAAATATATATATATATATATATATATATATATATATATATATATATATATATATATATACACACACACACATAATATATTCTTTAACACATTGTCTGCCATTTGCCACCCCCCAGGAACTATAATGTCACCCCCCAAGGGAATGTTACTTGTATAATAAATACAATTACAAACTTACATTTCTGACAGTTGCTGCTAGAGCTTCCAATATAGCAGTTGGACTCCTGGATATAAAATGACATTACATTACTCTTGATTGAAAGACAATTACAGACTTAAGTATAGTATCTAGTAAGCTATATGAAGCAGCAACATAATTATTATAATGATAGAAAACTTAAAAGTTTAATTTACCTATCAATTCTATCAGGTATGATTATAGGTTCATCTGAAAAAAAAAGATTGAAAATTCTCAAAATACATTTGCAATTGAAAAAACTGATTACACATTAACTTAACCTTTTTAAAAAAATATGCAAATGGTGATCAGTATAATAATAATCATTAAAAAAGTTTTAAAAAACCCACGTTTTCTGATTGAACTAAAAAGTAGAAAATAAATGCTATACATCACAATAATGCAAGCGATCACTCTACTATAAGCGATCAAAAACGTGGGGCGCCGAAGTAAAAGTTATATTACTATTGATTAGATAATACTATTGACTTTTATTAGGGAGCTTGTAGAGAGTCAACAGTATTAGAAACTGTAAGAAAATCACGGCGCCCCACGTTTTTGATCGCTTATAGTAGAGTGATCGCTTGCATTATTGTGATGTATAGCATTTATTTTCTACTTTTTAGTTCAATCAGAAAACGTGGGTTTTTTAAAACTTTTTTAATGATTATTATTTTCTACTTTTTAGTCTTTGTCTGTTTGTTTGCATTAAAATCTTGCTATCGATTTTATCTTTTCACTTTTTTTTGGGTAAACGAAGACAACTCGTAAAAAGACAACTCGTAAAAAGACAACTCGAAAAAAAATCGTTGTGTGAATACGTTACTGACTAGAACACATAGATTTGAACCCGTGTCGAGTGGGATAGCAATCGTGTGCCCAACCACTCGACCATATCGTCTCCCCCATACTGGCCTACCTCCTGTAAGTTTAAACTCGGTTCAAACTAAATTATCTGCCCCTAAGCCTGTCGCGACTTGGGATCGTTCGCTTCACTGCGCGCGAGGTACGCGTCGCTCGTTTTTTTTCTAATGGCTCGCAGAGGAGAATTATATATATAGATTATATAGCGGTCTAAAATGCTCAATAAAATGTTTCCATTGATCAATTTAGTAATAATAACAATTGAATATTCTATGGTCATCCAAAAGAAAGCTTCCCTGAAAATTTCAGCGCGCTAGCTAACTGGGAAGTGCCAGAAATTTCGATCGCAAGATTTGATTGGAAAAACAAACAAACAAACAAAAAAACAGAGAAAGCAAGTTAAAGAAAACGTGGGAAAAAAAACAAGCAGAGAAAAGATAGTAATCAGAATGAAATCTTTCTTACCATCTTTAGCACTTGGATCTAGAACAATTGGTGTTGGAGCAGGGACAAAGTCTTTGTTTCTTTTAGGCTTTTGATAAATTTTCAATGTATTTCCTAAGCATGCTCTGCTCGTTGATACGTATCTACAAAATGTGATTAAACAAAAAAGACTGAAGTACCACAGTCAATAAGCACTATTTACAACACTACCTTCTTCCTAATTTGTCTATTCCCAGTTGCCTATAATTTCTTGGGAAGGAGGTAAATTTTGGGAGTTCTATTTTTTGCTTGTTTATATTTTTTTTCAGAGAAAAAGTATTTAAATTTAAGTTTATAGCTATTACTAGTATTAGTAAAGAGTATTAGTAGTCTATAGGGCAAGCCGCCCTATTCTGAGCAGTGCTGGTGCCAAGTTATTTAGCACCCTAGGCAAAACTTATTAAACCCCCCCCCCCCCTTGCCCGCAAATTTGTTTCAGGCCCACATATTATGAATATATAACACACACACACACATATATATATATATATATATATATATATATATATATATATATATATATATATATATATATATATATATATATTTACATACATATATACATACATAAATATTAGTTTTTCTCACTAAATCTAGAATTTACGCAATTATCAATTTAAACATGACCACTGAATAATAGACATCCATATTTAATCCATTAGGCACTAACTTTGGAGTTTTTAGTTCGTTTTAAACTAAATTAGTTAATTAAATATTTATTGTCAATCACTGCCATGTCCAACACATCTCTCCATGACAACTCTTCTTAAGCTTGAAGCTAAAGAAAACCACAAATCAGGTTAGACTTTTTAAGTGGCCATGCACAAGAGTTCCTCACTAGTGATCACCAAATAGCGGTCACGTGGTTTTTAAAAAATAAAAATAAATTGGTTGTGATATGGACGCCGGTCTTATAAAAAAACAGCTCACAATATTTGATTTCTTTTTTCATAGACTGATAAAACTAATAATGCTTTACGTTCTCGCTCATTTCTGTACCTACACTGTTGATATTTTTTAAATTCTATTAATTTTAATGAAACCAACTTTTGAATTTAGCCTCCGTTCTCCAAACCAAATTTTAAAATGCTTTTCTGGCATATCTAACCCTGCCACTTATGGTTTGTTGTTATGACACGGAAATCCCGCCATTTTGCGCATGGTAAACATTTTTAAATGTAATTAGTTGAAGGTCCTGGAATTTGGCCGAAAAATCGCCGGAAATCAAACGTCCGGTCCGGGCGCCATATTGTTGTTAGCAACCGACCACGCCTTCAAGTTAGCGAGAAATAATAATAAATTTATATACATGCATATATATATACATATATATATATATATATACATATATATATATATATTAGTAAATTTTAAATTAAACCTTTTAACCTATTTCATTGCAAAGTATATCCACCATAACACAAGAAACCACACAGAGATAGACTGAAACTTATTTCTGGTCTGAAAGAATCCTATTTTAAAATACCTCATTAATGCCTGTCGCAAATTATGAATAGTGGCATAGAAGTGGTTTGAGTAAGGTTTGCCTATTTTTAATACTACAACTTAGGCTATGTATTTTTTCCGTCTGTTTTTTTGTATTCACAAAACCACTTGTCTATCAAGGTACAGAAAAATATTTCTGAGTCGAATTTTGTTCCCCTTATCTAAATGGCCTGCCCCCCCCCCCTTCACTCTCCATTATTGCAGGGTCTGGCGGCATAGTAATTCCGCCCCTGTAAGTGTTAAGAAAGCACCATTTGGTACACAATCTTACAATTTTGGTTGTACTATATAGAGAAGGACATCTGATTGTGACATCTGCTTAGGAAGCTACTAATTGAAACTTGTTGAAAAGATCATCAGCATCAATATCTGATTATCTGTATTACTTATGTATTAGCATAAAATGGCATTATGCATTAACAATGTTTCTAAATGTTTGCAGTCAATAAAAAAACCAAACTACACGGTTGGACTTGGAGACGCTAGGGCGAAAAATCTTATTCCAACTACTAGTCACTTCGTTAATAATAATTTTTTTTTAATAGGCCTAAGTGCCTAATGAAATCTCGAAGGTTTTCTCTAAAAAATTTTGAATGATTCTTTCTTAAGTCACACTGATAGTGATATTATCTAGATTTAGTAACTATGCCTAAATTAATAATACTAAATAGGCCTATCAATAAAATTAAATAACTTAGGCTAATAATAATTAATAAGATACTGAAGTTGAAGAAAGGGAGGTAAGGCCTATTTAATTTTTAAAGTTTAATTTTTTAATTTAGAGGCCTATAAGTGTATAGTGTATCAGGATAGGAAGAAGGTAAAATCTTAGTTTAGCGTCGTAAATTCGGCCAAAACTAGTAATGTAGGAGAGAGTGAATTAATGAATATGTCATTAAATATGAGTATATTTTCGTATATTTTGATAAAATATTATAAATAATTGAATAATAGATCACCATTTATGGTTAAATCAATTTAAATATCCTGAAATTAATTTTTATCAACCCTGTTCGAGATAGTAAATTTGCTATTAAAAACAGCAGCCATCTTAAGAAATTGTTATTTAGAGTAGCTTCCCTTTTATTTCTATTCGTATGAAAATGTATTTAAATATGATTGTCTTGTTGTATAGTCCGTATTACAAAGAATTTTTTTTTAATTCTGCTCTTTAAAAACTGAATTTCCTAACAAACAACTTTATTAATTCTAGAAGCATTGTGAGATGCAACTTGTATTCATGTATTAAATCACGTTTTTTTTACTAATGTTAATTTGATCTTACTATTACTATACTATATAGTATATAGTATATAGTTTGAGTTTTTTCTTATTGTTTGATTGTTCACTATTTTCATTTCAGGTTTTTCTTTTTATCAATTAGTGATTCTATCGTAACTTATGACATTTTTTGCTTCTCTTTACCTTAATTAAACCCCAAACTCCGTCATATTTTTGTTGTCAATGTCACAAGTCATAATGTAAAAAAATTACGCTTCACTCTGCCTTATCTAAGATCTCTAACCATAATTTTGACAACATTAAATGTTTGTCATCATTTATATATACAGAGAGACAAAATGTATTATCCACCAGCTTCCCTCGTAAAACATCATCTAAAACAATGAGCCAGTCCACCCCTTAAGTGCGTGTTGTCATTATGGTCGATCGCAAGTCTCCACCTCCCAGACACATGTTGGTTATCCTTTGTTGTCAAATTGTCATTATCAAGTACACAAGTGAGTGATATGGGGTTGTCCATAAATGATGTCACATATGATTTGCTACGGGAGTGAGTGAAGATTTGTGACGTCAACTCAGGCGGCTTTGCAATTTATGACGTGTCGGTCTCATGAAAGGAGGTGAACGGGGAAAAATACCTAGGTGGTTGATGGAGAACCTCTATAATGCTTTGTTCAATCAAAATAACGATAAATAAGCATTAGTATACGTATACCTTGCTTAAAACGAATCATCACAAATGTTGCAAGCCTGCTAGTTTAAGACATTCGGCAAAACGGCCGCAACACATTATCCCCGTCAAAAAGGCTTGCCACCAAATGCCTGCCGACGAATAAGCCGCGTCTAATGCGGGGCGTTAGGAATACGGCCATTAGCATGGGCCGCGTTAGAGCACCAGTAGGCTATCGCGCTTTGTAAGATGACGTAAATACTTAAATTCAATTTCGCTAAACTGCGCGAAAATTTAGTAATGTTCCATCGTTTGAGGAAATTTATTTTCTTGGACTTAAATTGAAATATCATGTTGACTGTTTGGCTCTTAATTTCCGAATATCACTTTTAATGTATCAAGATTCAGAACTATAATTTACTTTAATATAAGTTTCATCTTATCGTTTATTGTGGTTTTTATAAAGCGCAGAGCAGCTACAAAATCGGGCGGCCATCCTGTTTTCACCAAGCTTCTTTTGGAGCTTAATATGGGTAGTCTAGTTCTATACGGTGTGAGCTTAATACATTTTTAAAGGGCCGAAAGTCTCAAGACAGCAAGCTTGCAGAAATAACTACGTACGTTTAAATGGACGAGTGATAGATGTGTTAGGGGCTGTTTAATGAACACCAACTTTTATGTAATCATATTAAACGTCGCAAAAGCGTCAAAAAGGCAGTGCTTGTTGTTTTTTTTTCTATAAAATTAGCCTAACGGTCGGCGGTACCGACATGACGTCACGTGCGAGCGTTAACTCGGTGACGATCTGCTAAGTGGGGGAATGAAAAGGTGGGGTTCAAGAAATGCGACTCGGCAAGCTTTTTACATTTCTTGACCCTTCTTAATAGTTCTTTTGTCCCCACTGAGAAAATGGATCACCAATGAATGACGCGTCATACTTCTACAGCTGGTCTTTCTCCCACAACCATCCCGTTTTCACGAAAAAAAAAAACCTGACCCGTCTCCAAAATCACATTGCTGAGTTCTACTCAACCTCTCCCCACCACAAATCACAATTTCTATCTGAAACAATATGTTCATATGTTTGCTCTGTAATAATGCAAGCTGTCATTACTATCTTAAGAGCGACGTCATTTATGAGCGATCTAATATTGATTTGCTTACTGCTAATAAAGTGTTCAAAAGTTCGACCTCCCAACAATTGTTGTGGTCTTGGATGCACACTATTAAGTCTGATATGGTCTATTAGTCATTCATGTCAACTATATTTTTAAAAAAAGAAAAATTACTATACAGGGGGTCATCCATAAATGACGTCACGCTCTTTTTGACGATTTTTACCCCCCCCCCTCCCCTCCGTCACACGTCGTCACAAAAAGCCAGACCCCCTCCCCTAAAATGACGTCACACCTCAGCCTACAATCCCCTCAAAATTGCAGTTGAATTGTTTTTAAACAGCTATATTTTTCCAAAATCTTGTCTGAACTCTGTCAAAATAGAGTATTTTAATCAATTGTTATTACAATGTATTAAAACAGTTTTTTAAAACGCAAAATAACGTCTATAATTCGTTTTGTAACATTGCTTTTTTAAAATGCAAAAGTGTGACGTCGCACCATCTGAACCCCTCCCCCTCCCCCTCCCCACACAACGTCACAAAATTACGGACCCCCCTCCCCCCTACGAGTGTGACGTCATTTATGGACGACCCCCCCCGGCATATATTAAAACAATACAAAACAATCATATTAAACCACAAAATCAACACAAAAGACATGCGAATAGACAATTTATTGTTTTTAAAACATGGCCGCTGCTTGTATTTACTCATTGTTGTCTCGAACGGGGTAGTTTAAAGTTTATTATAAGGATATTTATGACTGGTTTGGTCTTGGATTGTGATTTGTTATTCAATTATCTGTTATATTGTGTAAAATATGACATAAATATGGCCAAATGAAAGAAATATTCATTAGTTACCTTCATCGCACATTACTAGCTACGTTGGAATTTACGACGCTAAACTAAGATTTTACCAGGAAGAAAATGAAGTTATCTTCATTGAGTTAACACTTTTCACAATGTTTAAGAAATGCTCTAGATCTACCTGTGAGTAAGTTCCGATACAAAAATTCTGGTAACTTTCAAAGTCACTTTTGTGTTTTGCCGTAAGGCGGCTGCCATTTTTTTTTTGTAAAAATATTAACTTTAAAAGGAACGACAACAAATTAAAAAACCGGATGTAGAGCATGTAGTCGAAAGAGGAGTGTCGAAATGGCCGAATAAAGACCTCAATCTAGGCCTATTTTAACAATAATTTTCTTTGTCAGGACTAACCACTTTTAGATCTATTAATTGATCGAAAAAACTGACAGTTAAATGCAAGGCCAAAACTCCACAATACTGCAGATCAGTGGCGTCGCTATGTCGGGTGTCACCCGGTGCGGCACTTCTTGGTATCACCCCCTCTTGTAATAATTGTCGATTTGTAGGCTTCTTAAAAGACTATTCAAATTTAAGTAACCATTAATGGAACTGGCATAAAGCATTTTTTAAAACATTTTACAATATAAATTCCATTTCGTTCGGGGAGGGGGTAGACTTTTTCGGCACGGGAGGGGGGGGGGCAGTCCTAAAAAGAAATGCCTGGACGACTCCATCTGGCACTACTGGTAGGCCTGTATTCTTGTTGATGATCTGACATTCTGTCCCAAGTCAGATGTAGGAGAAGTTGCGTGTAGGCCAGTAACCCACCCTGACGAGCTGTGAGTTGTTTCTGTACTCACAACATGAAGCAGATGATGTACAATACAAGCAAGGAGCGCCTTTCATGCACAGATGGCGCTTCTTGATGGTAAATACAAGGACCAATTGTAATCTCTCATCATTTATTTAAAACAAAAAGAGGAAGCTCAAGTCATACTATACCACAGATGATGACAAAGATCTCTATGAGAACTTGCTGAGGTTCACCCGGGCAAGGACATCATTAATCTCATGAGAGACAACCCAGGACATACACAGGGTAGTAGCACATCATGGGATCCGATGCTACGTGGTGATGGGAGTGTAAAGACAATTGTGACGCTGGATGGTAAAAAACGGGTGGATGCAACAATGTAAACAACCTTCTCATAACAGGTGAACATAAAAACATACAGCCGATCAGTGACGTAGCGAGGTCGGGTGTCACCCGGTGCGGCACTTAATGGTGTCACCCCCCCCCCCCCAGAGGCGTAGCGACCTTTCCCGGGGATAAACTTTCAAATTTTCGATTTGCACCCCCCCCTCAAGTTTTTCTCTATATATTATGCTCCTTTTTGCCTTGGTGTCACCCCCCTAAATGGTGTCACCCGGTGCGGTCCGCACCTCCCGCACTGCAGCCGATATCTACATGAAGACCAATACACACACACACACACACACATACCCACACACACACACACATATATATATATATATATATATATATATATATATATATATATATATATATATATATATATATATATACTAGCCGTCCCGGCCAGGCCCTGCTCTGGCTTCTGTGAAAAACCTTTCTGTTAACGACCATTACCTGTGTGTTTAGTAATCATCATAAACCCGGCATTGCCCACCCAAACCACAACCAACCAAAACAACAAAACGCAAACATAACGCTAACACAATTACAAATACAAACGAAAACAAAAACCTAACAACAAACCCAACCACAACCACAAACACCAATACAAACACAAAGAAAAAACAAACAAAAAAGCAAACGAAAACAAAAACCTAACAACAAACCCAACCACAAACACCAATACCAACAAAAAAAAAAAAAAAAAAAAAAACGAAAAAGCAAACGGAAACAAACCAAATCCAAACGCAAAACCAACCAAAAACACAAATACAAACCCAAACAAAAAAACACAAACAAAAACGAAAAAAGAAAGAACGAAAACAAACCAAATCCAAACGCAAAACCAACCAAAAACACAAATACAAACCCAAACAAAAAAAACACAAACAAAAACGAAAAAAGAAAGAACAAAAACGAACCAAATCAAAACGCAACCACTAACGCAAACCCACCTAAACACAAAGAAAACACTAACGCGAACATAAACGCCCGGGGCAGAATCGCCTGTTTTAGCTTAATAAACGACTATAGTACCCCAACTTATTCATAGTTTTTGCACTCACTTAAACGAACGCGCCTGTTTCAATTTAATGAACAATTATAATACTCCAAGCTTATCCGTAAAATACCTAAAACATTTGCACTTGATCAATCCCCGCTAATTATGTAATTATTTTTTTCCCAACACCAAAACAAAGTAATTAAAAAGTAAATGCTTTTCAACTAATGCAATGGGTTTCATAAAGGGAAGTAATTGTGTTTTGCCTAATTTATCAAAGGGAAGTAAGCGCTATAGGACTAAATAAAAACATAATTAGAATTTTTGTAAAAGATGATATTTTTTTTAAAACTTGTGTTTAATGAACATGCCGACAATTATTACTATAATTTGAAAAATGAAAATGATTTCCCAACACTTTTAATAGTAATTTTTTAACTCATAAATTTAGACAAACGCGCACGATAATTGATCTAACACTTAAATCCGTAGAAATGCCAACGACAAACATATGCGTTACAGAATTGAGCTTTATATATTACTAGCCGTCCCGGCCAGGCCCTGCTCTGGCTTCTGTGAAAAACCTTTCCGTTAAAGACCATTACCTGTGTGTTTAGTAATCATCATAAACCCGGCATTGCCCACCCAAACCACAACCAACCAAAACAACAAAACGCAAACATAACGCTAACACAATTAGAAATACAAACGAAAACAAAAACCTAACAACAAACCCAACCACAACCACAAACACCAATACAAACACAAAGAAAAAACAAACGAAAACAAAAACCTAACAACAAACCCAACCACAAACACCAATACCAAAAAAAAAAAAACGAAAAAGCAAACAAAAACAAACCAAATCCAAACGCAAAACCAACCAAAAACACAAATACAAACCCAAACAAAAAAAAAACAAAAACGAAAAAAGAAAGAACAAAAACGAACCAAATCAAAACGCAACCACTAACGCAAACCCACCTAAACACAAAGAAAACACTAACGCGAACATAAACGCCCGGGGCAGAATCGCCTGTTTTAGCTTAATAAACGACTATAGTACCCCAACTTATTCATAGTTTTTGCACTCACTTAAACGAACGCGCCTGTTTCAATTTAATGAACAATTATAATACTCCAAGCTTATCCGTAAAATACCTAAAACATTTGCACTTGATCAATCCCCGCTAATTATGTAATTATTTTTTCCCAACACCAAAACAAAGTAATTAAAAAGTAAATGCTTTTCAACTAATGCAATGGGTTTCATAAAGGGAAGTAATTGTGTTTTGCCTAATTTATCAAAGGGAAGTAAGCGCTATAGGACTAAATAAAAACATAATTAGAATTTTTGTAAAAGATGATATTTTTTTTAAAACTTGTGTTTAATGAACATGCCGGCAATTATTACTATAATTTGAAAAATGAAAATGATTTCCCAACACTTTTAATGGTAATTTTTTAACTCATAAATTTAGACAAACGCGCACGATAATTGATCTAACACTTAAATCCGTAGAAATGCCAACGACAAACATATGCGTTACAGAATTGAGCTTTATATATTAGATTAGATATATATATATATATATATATATATATGTGTGTGTGTGTGTGTGTGTGTGTATAAACGGTGTTACTTGTAACATATAAACAAAGTGTGTCGAATTTACAAGGTCAAGGTTCTGATTTTAATAACTAACGTAGGTCGTTCTGTAAGTAAACTTTATGTACCATGCCAACATTGTACAAATCAAGGGAAAAAAAGATATATGGCAAATCTTACCAAAAACAACAACCCAGTACACTTACTTTATATCATAAGTAACATATGTGTCTACGTTGAACCCCCAAATTGATTCGGCCCCACCCCCCCTACATGTGAGTTGTCTCATTGAAAGTGACAAGTGTCATGAGTGTGATAAATGTCACTGGGTGGGATACATGTCATATGGTGAGAAGAGTGCTTGACATTGTCTCTCTGCGTCTTCGTTCTTATTTTAGTGTTGGAAGGGATCCCCTCCAATACAATTACGCGTCAACAGGTTATGCGACAATGTGGCCATTGACTCCTATTTCAGCCTGCTTTTCTTTTTTGGATTTGCTTCCTTAGCCTTTGTCATAATGTCAAATATATTATTGTGTTTTTTCTTCTTCATTTTGAACTTTTAATTATGCTACAACTTCAAACTTTCAAATATTACAATTAAATCTCTTCTTATCCATTTGTTAGCTACATATTAGGTGTTATAAAGCTCGTTTGGTGTTCGACAAAAAAGAAAAAAAAAAACATTTGTATGGAATAAAGCGAAATTTTATTTATATCAATAGATTTGGAAGAATGCATGACATAAAAGTTCCCATCATGTTTATAAAAATTTATACAGTCAAATATCACATTGAATATATTCTAACTCTTTTCTAACAAGTACTTATTTGCAGGAATAAGTGATGTGTTTAAGTATGTTTAACCACACACGAGACCACATATTATGTAAGCCTACGCTTGTTTAATAACATACGTGACTGCATGAGATCAAGAAGGGTCACAAAAAAGCTGCATATATGATAATTTATAAATGATACAAAGTAGCCTAATATTGTAGAATTTTAATATCAATTATAATAATTTATACATGGGCCCATACTGGATCAATGTAATGTAAACATTGTAAAACAAATATATCTAACACTAATGCATAAAATGAAGCTTTGATACAAATACAAATATGTTGAGGATAGAACAAAATAATAAAATGTTCACATTTACAATGGTTTAAATCTTTTTGAACAAAAACAAATCAGGATTCAGACTTCATCTCTTTTTGACGAAAAGCTAGATCAAAACAAAACAACAAAATTGCCATCAATAGTGTCATTATACATAGACTCGAATTATTGTTAGAGATTAGTCATTATTTTACTTTATTTTCTCTATTTCATTCTTTTTCTCAATTAACGCTCTAGCTAATTTTTATACACGCTCTAATAAAATTTTAATTCAAAACTAAACTCTACTACAAATATTCACAATTTGTATACAATGCTCAGCATCGAAAATGTGAAATTACAAATAACTACAGTCGTTCAATTTAGAAATTGTCTATTTTAGTCAGCCAATCATACCTCACGCTAAAAAGTGTAACCCACTTGTGTAGTGTGTTTACCATGCACAGTCACCTTCCTATAATGTTCCACAATTCTTAGCAAAGCCTCTGAAATGGTTCCATGTTTCTTAGCAAGCTTGCAGACCTTAAGCTTGGTACAGTTGAAAAATGTACCGAGTTGCTCCATACTCTCTGAACACATAGATCTATCTAAAGTTTTAGTACCGTCAATCGGTACTAAGGTATCGTGCCAAGGTCGAATTAGTATGCCAAGGTTTGTTATATCAAGGTTGAATCTGAGCAGCATGATCAAGGTAAAATATCAATGCCAAGGTTTGCCGTGTCAAGGCCGAATCTGAATGCCAAGGTTTGTTGGCTTCTTGCGACTGAAGGCTCTCTGTAAGAGGTTGGTCGCCTCCTCCCTGCTCATACCAGCCACAGAGACTCCATTGACACAGGTCACCTCTACACCTGGCTGGGGATAACATAGTGGAACAGGTAAACACAGTCAATACACACCCATTTGATTTAACGCATGATTTATAATTGACTTAAAAGCATATAACAATAACAGCTACTCATTATCTAGCGATTTACTTATCAATGGATAGTCTGGAGTTATTCATTACTAGTTGTTTTTTTTTACAAGTATCCCTATCCTAACAAAGACTCTAGATATAGCCTAACCGTATTCCTGACTGAACCAAATATGCTACCCAATCACTCAGTTACATTGACTGGCGGATTTCTTAAAACAAACCCTAACCCTTATTCTAACCCTAACCCTTCAAACATGTAAGACCCTGTAGATTCGCCTCAAATGAAAGCAGTACCTGGAGTCTTTGGTCGTCTGATGCTGCTCCTGTAGGCACGACACTTTTAATCCTGATGGGATGATCTCCCGAACCATCTCTGCCCCCCTCTAGTTCCAGACCTGGAATACAAGAACTGGAGCACTTCAGAACACATGTATTTACATCAATATATATTGCATAAATATATTTTTTTCACACTTGCACTTTGTATTAGTGGGATGGGCAGGGTGAGTTACTTTACCTAGAAATACGTTACTTTACCTAGAAAGACTTTGTATTTGGAGATATATATTAGGGTGATGGGCAGTATACAGATGCAGCGTGAGTTACTTTACCTAGAAATACTTTGTGTTTAGAGGTGAGTTCCTTACCTAGAAATACTTTGTGTTTAGAGGTGAGTTACTTACCTAGAAATACTTTGTGTTTAGAGGTGAGTTCCTTACCTAGAAATACTTTGTGTTTAGAGGTGAGTTACTTACCTAGAAATACTTTGTGTTTAGAGGTGAGTTCCTTACCTAGAAATACTTTGTGTTTAGAGGTGAGTTACTTACCTAGAAATACTTTGTGTTTAGAGGTGAGTTCCTTACCTAGAAATACTTTGTGTTTAGAGGTGAGTTACTTACCTAGAAATACTGTGTGTTTAGAGGTGAGTTACTTACCTAGAAATACTGTGTGTTTAGAGGTGAGTTACTTACCTAGAAATACTGTGTGTTTAGAGGTGAGTTACTTACCTAGAAATACTGTGTGTTTAGAGGTGAGTTACTTACCTAGAAATACTGTGTGTTTAGAGGTGAGTTACTTACCTAGAAATACTGTGTGTTTAGAGGTGAGTTACTTACCTAGAAATACTTTGTGTTTAGAGGTGAGTTACTTACCTAGAAAGACTTTGTGTTTGGAGGTGAGTTACTTACCTAGAAATACTTTGTGTTTGGAGATGTAAACTATCTGTTCGTTTTCTTTAAGTACTGGGTGGTCATTGACCTCACCATCGTCCTCGATTATAACCCTGTAACAAAACAAAGATGGCTGACATGAGACGATTGCTGAGGCTCTGGTGCTTGTACACACTACAGACTAACGACATGTTGTCAGCTGCTACAGATTAGAGGCTACACCATAAAACCATCTACCATACCACAAAATTCCCAAACACCAACCAAACAAACACCCACCACTTTAAAACCAAACACTCTAACATTACCCCCAACAACACCCACCACAACCCTTTTTTCTTCGTTCCTAATTTTAGTTTTGAAAGGGATTCCCTTCAACACAATTAAGCGTTACGTGTCAACTTGTTATGCGGCGTAAAGGCCGTTGACTCCGATTTCAGCCTGCTTTTCTTTTTGGATTTGCCTCCATAGCCTTTGTCCAACTACGAACAAACCACAAGGCAGCAGTTGTTTGATTTTGGAGTTGTCTCTCCCAGATGGGTTGCTGTCACAAGATATTGAGCCTCATCTGCCAAAGTGTTCGAACTCGAGACTTTAGCAACCATGAGCTTTACCGACTCGACCACGCCGACCCCCTACCATAACACCAATAACCCTAAGCCCCCCCCCCCCCCCCACACCGAATAACAACCAAGCAAACACACCACCCAAACAGCACTCATCCTCACACCAACAACTCAAACATCAACCACCCAAACACCAAAAAACCAAACACCAACTTGACCAACGGTTCCCAGACTTACGCTTCCAGTTGATCCCGTGTTCCCTTAAGGTCATGACCTGTAAAAGACGGGACTCGATTGGTCATTTCGTGGTGTCGTGACGTCAAGTCGTAAAACCCAGTTTTACCGTTGGTCTGATGACCTGATCTGGCAGGTTTGACAGGAGCTGACAGAGGTCGTCTGTCTGTAACACATTCGGACATTGAAAACAATTGGAAATTACAACAACACAAAAAAGGTTCATTAAAAAAAAAACCCAACCAAACTATAATAGGCTTAAAGCAAGTTTAAAAACAGCTCAATACTGGCTAGAGTTTGGGAGAGGGGGGGGGGGGTGAATTTATTAAAAGTTTTTTTAGCTGTTGACATTTCATTTCTATCCATCTGTATTATAATTGTTTGTCTAATTAATTGTCTAATTATAATTAGACACGTACATGTGGCAGTAGTGGATGCGTGAACCTTAGGATGCAGCAGTAAAAAAAAAAAGATCTACGTACCAGCGATGTGATTTTATTTAAACTTGGGGTTGGACAGTAGTGGATGTGCGAATGTTTTAATACAGCAGTAAAAAAAAAAGATCTACCTACCAGCTATGTTCTCAGAGTTGGACTTGGGCGAGATGTGTAGGATGTTGTTGTGAAACCCGGTGAGCAGGGAGTCAAAGCGACTGATGTGGCTTGGCGCTAAAACACGCCTGAGAATGTACACATACATTAGACTTTATCTGTAACTGTTGTGTACACGTACATAAGACTTTATCGTAATTTTTATGCACATATAACGTAGACTATCCTTAATTTTATTTGGAGGAAAAAATGTGTTTGTGTCATGATCTAATCTTTCATTTTTATAGAAGTCCCAATAACAAATGTTCTAAAATGTGTAGTTCTATGAACCGTCTTTCATATCGACACTTTTATAAACAGCCTTTAGCGATGGTAAAATACTAGCAGAGTGAAAAGTTTAGTGAAAAGCTACATTCACATAGCAATAACCCACAGATAATGACTAAAAGACAATCAAACGTGTAATGACCCATAAATAATAATTAAAGGTAACCAAGCATACAAAGACGACATACCTGACGTCATCGAGTAGCGACCGTTTAGTGTCTGTGTCTAGAATCTCCAGGAGAAGCTGGATCAGTCGTTCCAAATCTTTGTTGTCATGGTACTGTAAGACAAGAGTTTAGATACACTTTGTAGTACTGAAAGACAAGAGTTTAGATAAACGTTGTTGTCATGGTACTGAAAGACACAAGTTTAGATAAACTTTGTTGTCATGGTACTGAAAGACAAAAGTTTAGATAAACGTTGTTGTCATGGTACTGAAAGACACAAGTTTAGATAAACTTTGTTGTCATGGTACTGAAAGACAAAAGTTTAGATACAAGTAGCTGTCATGGTACTGAAAGACAAGAGTTTAGATAAACTTTGCTGTCATGGTACTGAAAGACAAGAGTTTAGATAAACTTTGCTGTCATGGTACTGAAAGACAAAAGTGTAGATAAACTTTGTTGTACTGAAAGACAAAAGTTTAGATAAACTTTGTTGTACTGAAAGACGAGAGTTTAGATAAACTTTGTTGTACTGAAAGACAAGAGTTTAGATAAACGTTGTCATGGTACTGAAAGACAAGAGTTTAGATAAACGTTGTTGTCATGGTACTTAGTGACAAGAGTTTAGATAAACTTTGTTGCCATGGTAATGAAAGGAGTTTAGATGAACTTTGATTTAAAAACTGTATTGGCAAAGTTTTGAGAACAAATTACCTCTAATAGCCCACGTTTGACACTCCTCTAAAAGCTCACTTTTGACACCCCTCTATAAGCTCACGTTTGACACCCCTCTAAAAGCTCATTTTTGACACCCCTCTAAAAGCTCACTTTTGACACCCCTCTAAAAGCTCACTTTTGACACCCCTCTAAAAGCTCACTTTTGACACCCCTCTAAAAGCCAACTTTTGACACCCCTATAACATCCCACGTGTGTCACCCCTATAACATCCCTCATATGACACCCCATTGGTACTCACACTATGGATGTGCCTGATGACCGCCCTACATTCGTCCTCCGTGAGTAGAATCCTGGCGTGATCCTCCAACATCCCCATCAGGTTGTACCTCTCGCTCGACGTGTTGAGGATCTGCGAGCCGAAGCTCCGCTCAAACACGCCCTTCTGACGTAACGAACCGGAACTGATGCTGCTCTTCTCGATTGAAAACACTGAAAAAATTAAACAGCTCGCAATTTTTAACGATAAACACGTCTGTGTAAGTTATAACGTGTCATATCAAAATCGTTTTTGTTATATAAGATCGATGCCTGAAATCGAAGATTACATTTCCGCGACATCAGGAATAACTCACTTTTGCCACTTATATATAAAACTAGCCGTCCCGGCCAGGCCCTGCTCTGGCTTCTGTGAAAAACCTTTCTGTTAAAGACCATTACCTGTGTGTTTATTAATCATCGTAAACCCGGCATTGCCCACCCAAACCACAACCAACCAAAACCAAAACAACAAAACGCAAACATAACGCTAACCCAATTACAAATACAAACGAAAACAAAAACCTAACAACAAACCCAACCACAACCACAAACACCAATACAAACACAAAGAAAAAACAAACAAAAAAGCAAACGAAAACAAAAACCTAACAACAAACCCAACCACAACCACAAACACCAATACCAACCAATAACAACACACACAAAAACGAAAAAGCAAACGAAAACAAACCAAATCCAAACGCAAAACCAACCAAAACACAAATACAAACCCAAAGAAAAAAACACAAACAAAAACGAAAAAAGAAAGAACAAAAACGAACCAAATCAAACCGCAACCACTAACGCAAACCCATCGGAGTCGCCTGTTTTAGCTTAATAAACGACTATAGTACCCCAACTTATTCATAGTCTTTTGCACTCACTTAAACGAACGCGCCTGTTTCAATTTAATGAACAATTTTAATAGCTTATCCGTAAAATACCTACATTTGCACTTGATCAATCCCCGCTAATTATGTAATTATTTTTTTTCCCAACACCAAAACAAAGTAATAAAAAGTAAATTCTTTTCCACTAATGCAATGGTTTTATAAAGGGAAGTAATTGTGTTTTCCTAATTTATCAAAGGGAAGTAAGTGCTATAGGACTAAATAAAGACATACTTTGAATTTTTGTAAAAGATGATATTTTTTTAAAATTTGTGTTTAATGAACATGCCGAAAATTATTACTTTCAGTTTGATAAATGAAAATTATTTCCCAAAACTTTCAATATTAATTTTTTAACTCTTAAATTTAGACAAATGCGCACGATAATATTCTAACACTTTAATCCATTGAAGTATGTCAACGACAAACATATGTATTTTTACATACATAATTGAGCTATATATATTAGACTAGGCATGCTGCCCATCTTCGCTTAGGCTTTCGAAAACATTGAGAATTTGAATGCTTAATTAATTCGCCCATATAAGGCGCCGGTCAGTCGAGGTCAGTTTTGACCCCCTCATCGTATACTTTTCGGCCAACCGGCCCCGGTGTTCTGTCGACCCAAGGCAGGATCCTGCCAAATTCGAAGCGCCTGCGGCGCCGGGAAGTGCCCTATCGGGCACCCGACAACTTAGCTTTATAGATCATCTAGATCTAGATCTAGAATATCTAGATCTATATGATCTAGAATCTCTAGATCTAGATGATCTAGAATATCTAGATCTAGATCAATATCTAGATCTAGAATCTCTAGATCTAGAATCCAAATAGATAAAATAATTTTTTTAAGTTAGGCCGAGAAAATCGTATTGTATACATTTCATAGCGTACATAGCTCTAAATCATATTTGAATGAAATAGTTCATTTCTTTGTATTCTAAACTCGGAAGATGACGTCATCAGTTTCGTGCTCTTTTTTTTAGTGTAAACAATAAGCGACGCCATTGTTAAATGCGTTCTTGTCCCAAAATTAAACACTTTTCCGGTTGCATAAATAATACTGTTTCTCTACATTTGAATACGCCTTTATTTTTTTTATTTTTCTTCTTTAAATAAAATTGTGGTTATACATTTAAAACATCTAACATATTATTTTCAACAAAAGTCCGTATAAAGGTATCCATATATCGCTGCCGATTCTGACGTGATGTCCGGCGAAAATATTTTGCGGACAGACAGAGAGAGAGAGAGAGAGAGAGAAGAGCGCACATGGCCTTTTATATGTTAGGATAGTAAAGTATAAATTTATTTTAATCACTACGGAAGAAAGCAGTAAAGTATAAACTTTTCTTTTCAATCAGTTATAAACTTATCTTTTCAGTCAGTTATAAACTTATCTTTGCTTACCATCAGACGAAGGAATAGACGATCGTTTTTCTGTTGAGATAAAATAAAATATTGCTGTTAAATATCGGTTAATATCCAAGTAAACGTATTGTCTATTTGCTACACCATAATCAACTTACTGTAGCCCGACCCCTTGACCCTAACCATAAACAACTTACTGTAGCCCGATCCCTTGAACCGGACCATAAACAACTAACTGTAACCCGACCCCTTGAACCGGACCATAAACAACTTACTGTAGCCAGATCCCTTGATCCGGACCATAAACAACTTACTGTAACCCGACCCCTTGAACCGGACCATAAACAACTTACTGTAACCCGACCCCTTGAACCGGACCATAAACAACTTACTGTAGCCAGATCCCTTGAACCGGACCATAATCAACTTACTGTAGCCTGACCCCTTGACCCTAACCATAAACAACTTACTGTAGCCAGATCCCTTGATCCGGACCATAAACAACTTACTGTAGCCCGATCCCTTGAACCGGACCATAATCAACTTACTGTAGCCTGACCCCTTGACCCTAACCATAAACAACTTACTGTAGCCTGACCCCTTGACCCTAACCATAAACAACTTACTGTAGCCCGACCCCTTGAACCGGACCATAATCAACTTACTGTAGCCCGACCCCTTGAACCGGACCATAATCAACTTACTGTAGCCCGACCCCTTGAACCGGACCATAAACAACTTACTGTAGCCCGACCCCTTGACCCTAACCATAAACAACTTACTGTAGCCCGACCCCTTGAACCGGACCATAATCAACTTACTGTAGCCCGACCCCTTGAACCGGACCATAAACAACTTACTGTAGCCCGATCCCTTGAACCGGACCATAATCAACTTACTGTAGCCTGACCCCTTGAACCGGACCATAAACAACTTACTGTAGTCCGATCCCTTGACCCGGACCATAATCAACTTACTGTAGCCTGACCCCTTGAACCGGACCATAAACAACTTACTGTAGCCCGATCCCTTGAACCGGACCATAAACAACTTACTGTAGCCAGATCCCTTGAACCGGACCATAAACAACTAACTGTAACCCGACCCCTTGACCCTAACCATAAACAACTTACTGTAGCCCGATCCCTTGAACCGGACCATAAACAACTTACTGTAGCCAGATCCCTTGAACCGGACCATAATCAACTTACTGTAGCCTGACCCCTTGACCCTAACCATAAACAACTTACTGTAGCCCGATCCCTTGAACCGGACCATAAACAACTTACTGTAACCCGACCCCTTGAACCGGACCATTAACAACTTACTGTAACCCGATCCCTTGAACCGGACCATAAACAACTTACTGTAACCCGACCCCTTGAACCGGACCATAAACAACTTACTGTAGCCAGATCCCTTGATCCGGACCATAAACAACTTACTGTAACCCGACCCCTTGAACCGGACCATTAACAACTTACTGTAGCCAGATCCCTTGAACCGGACCATTAACAACTTACTGTAGCCAGATCCCTTGAACCGGACCATTAACAACTTACTGTAGCCAGATCCCTTGATCCGGACCATAAACAACTTACTGTAACCCGACCCCTTGAACCGGACCATTAACAACTTACTGTAACCCGATCCCTTGAACCGGACCATAAACAACTTACTGTAACCCGACCCCTTGAACCGGACCATAAACAACTTACTGTAGCCAGATCCCTTGATCCGGACCATAAACAACTTACTGTAACCCGACCCCTTGAACCGGACCATTAACAACTTACTGTAGCCAGATCCCTTGAACCGGACCATTAACAACTTACTGTAGCCAGATCCCTTGAACCGGACCATTAACAACTTACTGTAGCCAGATCCCTTGATCCGGACCATAAACACCTTACTGTAACCCGATCCCTTGAACCGGACCATAATCAACTTACTGTAGCCTGACCCCTTGAACCGGACCATAAACAACTTACTGTAGTCCGATCCCTTGACCCGGACCATAATCAACTTACTGTAGCCTGACCCCTTGAACCGGACCATAAACAACTTACTGTAGCCCGATCCCTTGAACCGGACCATAAACAACTTACTGTAGCCAGATCCCTTGAACCGGACCATAAACAACTAACTGTAACCCGACCCCTTGACCCTAACCATAAACAACTTACTGTAGCCCGATCCCTTGAACCGGACCATAAACAACTTACTGTAGCCAGATCCCTTGAACCGGACCATAATCAACTTACTGTAGCCTGACCCCTTGACCCTAACCATAAACAACTTACTGTAGCCCGATCCCTTGAACCGGACCATAAACAACTTACTGTAACCCGACCCCTTGAACCGGACCATTAACAACTTACTGTAACCCGATCCCTTGAACCGGACCATAAACAACTTACTGTAACCCGACCCCTTGAACCGGACCATAAACAACTTACTGTAGCCAGATCCCTTGATCCGGACCATAAACAACTTACTGTAACCCGACCCCTTGAACCGGACCATTAACAACTTACTGTAGCCAGATCCCTTGAACCGGACCATTAACAACTTACTGTAGCCAGATCCCTTGATCCGGACCATAAACAACTTACTGTAACCCGACCCCTTGAACCGGACCATAAACAACTTACTGTAGCCAGATCCCTTGATCCGGACCATAAACAACTTACTGTAACCCGACCCCTTGAACCGGACCATTAACAACTTACTGTAGCCAGATCCCTTGAACCGGACCATTAACAACTTACTGTAGCCAGATCCCTTGATCCGGACCATAAACAACTTACTGTAACCCGACCCCTTGAACCGGACCATTAACAACTTACTGTAACCCGACCCCTTGAACCGGACCATAAACAACTTACTGTAGCCAGATCCCTTGATCCGGACCATAAACAACTTACTGTAACCCGACCCCTTGAACCGGACCATTAACAACTTACTGTAACCCGACCCCTTGAACCGGACCATAAACAACTTACTGTAGCCAGATCCCTTGAACCGGACCATTAACAACTTACTGTAGTCCGATCCCTTGAACCGGACCATTAACAACTTACTGTAGCCAGATCCCTTGAACCGGACCATTAACAACTTACTGTAGCCAGATCCCTTGATCCGGACCATAAACAACTTACTGTAACCCGACCCCTTGAACCGGACCATTAACAACTTACTGTAACCCGACCCCTTGAACCGGACCATAAACAACTTACTGTAACCCGACCCCTTGAACCGGACCATAAACAACTTACTGTAGCCAGATCCCTTGATCCGGACCATAAACAACTTACTGTAACCCGACCCCTTGAACCGGACCATTAACAACTTACTGTAGCCAGATCCCTTGAACCGGACCATTAACAACTTACTGTAGCCAGATCCCTTGATCCGGACCATAAACAACTTACTGTAACCCGACCCCTTGAACCGGACCATAAACAACTTACTGTAGCCAGATCCCTTGATCCGGACCATAAACAACTTACTGTAACCCGACCCCTTGAACCGGACCATTAACAACTTACTGTAGCCAGATCCCTTGAACCGGACCATTAACAACTTACTGTAGCCAGATCCCTTGATCCGGACCATAAACAACTTACTGTAACCCGACCCCTTGACCCAGACCATAAACAACTTACTGTAGCCCGATCCCTTGACCCAGACCATAAACAACTTACTGTAACCCGACCCCTTGATCCGGACCATAAACAACTTACTGTAGTCCGATCCCTTGAACCGGACCATAAACAACTTACTGTAACCCGACCCCTTGAACCGGACCATAAACAACTTACTGTAGCCAGATCCCTTGATCCGGAAACTTCCTTTTATCCGGCTCTTTATGGACGACCACGTCCCATTTTTCCGATGGTCTGTGTCGTCAGACGAAACTTCTGAGGCGGCTGTGGGTGTGGGAGGGGGGGGGGGTCGAAACAGGGAACACTTTAGTGAGGGACATAGTGGGTGTAAAACACATTCCATATACCAGGTATATTATTCAATTAACACCCAGTAACGCATTTATCACTCACAGAAACAAACACTGATGCATTCACCACACACACACACTCAAGTATTCAACACTCAAACAAACACACACTGAGGCATTCACCACACACACAAACACACACTGATGTATGCATCACTCACACACACCCAGTCATCCCTCACACAAACATACACTGAAGCATGCATCATTCGCACACACCAGTCACGTCAGAACCACTGCTCACCCGAGGAAGATGTCCCATTGACCGAAGTCCCGTTGACCGACACCCCATTGACAGTTATCCCTGCGGCTTTCGTGATCTCCCACGAGCCCAGATGGGACTTCCTGGCCTCGAGCTGTTCAATCTGTGACGCCAGGATCTCCCTGTCGGCTGCTTCCTCGTCTGGCCACTCCTTCACTCTGTCTGGCACCACTACGTCACTTCCTGTTCTGGCACTGGTCTCGTGTTTCTTGCTCTTATTCACCGTGGCGTATATCGGAGCTGACCTAACACTGGACGCTACGCTTGACTGCGTGCGTTTACCTGTCAGTTCCGTGACCTGTGAGTAAATCTCGTCCGTACCCACGTGACTTATTTGTCTCGGTTTCTGCTGTGAGGTGAAATCCGTGACGACCTCCTCCACCGTTGTTTCAATCACCGGCTCCTCCTCTTCCGGCGTGGTCACGTGGTTCAGTGTGTGGGTGACGTCACGAGTCTGCTGCAAGAAGGTCGTGTAGTCCATGACGTATTCGCTGACGTCTGAGCTGTGCTGGCTGTTGTCTGAGAGAGACCCGGAGTGGACGTCCTTCAGACTCTCAATGTCCTGCCATGTGTCCTCATGTCCTCGTCTGAACAGGATGTTTTGCTCACCCGGGTAGCGGTCAGACTGAAACATCAAAAACACATCTAGGCTGTCAGAAACATCAAAAACACATCCAGACGGTCAGAAACATCAAAAACCAAGATCACATCCAAGACTTAACATTACAAAGCAACAAATTCTAAAGATGAACAATTTGTTCTGACACATCCTTTGTTTCTATAAAATAAAATAAGTAATAACGAATGAAGCTTCGACTAGAAATCATTTGCACATCAACATTAATGCAACCAGCTCAATCACTTGTAGTACGTTAGATCACTGTAGCAACAATCCTACCTTAGAATAGGCGTACATCTAGAAAAGTTAACTTTATAGGCTAGTAATAATGTATTGTGCGTTAGGTCACAGCTAGAGCGTTTCATGTGTAGCCATTTTATCAAGGACTCGACATTAAGCTCCCAATTAAGCTCACGTCATTAGCTCACCTCAACCTGCAGGGCAAGGTCAAGGTCTTCTATGACATCAAGGTCAGAAGAATCCCACTCATCGTCTGACGTCACTCGAGCCCCGGGTCCCTGGTCAATGCTGCTCTCACGTGTGTGGTGGGCGTGGCTTCTGCCTGGAGCTGAAACGTCAATCAGACCACTAAACATGTCATCTCATTAGCATACAGTCAGACCACTAAACATGTCATCTCATTAGCATACAGTCAGACAATTTCACTAAACATGTCATCTCATTAGCATACAGTCAGACCACTAAACATGTCATCTCATTAGCATACAGTCAGACAACTTCACTAAACATGTCATCTCATTAGCATACAGTCAGACAACTTCACTAAACACGCCATCTCATTAGCATACAGTCAGACAACTAAACATGTCATCTCATTATCATACAGTCAGACCACTAAACATGCCATCTCATTAGCATACAGTCAGACAACTTCACTAAACATGTCATCTCATTAGCATACAGTCAGACAACTTCACTAAACACGCCATCTCATTAGCATACAGTCAGACAACTAAACATGTCATCTCATTATCATACAGTCAGACCACTAAACATGCCATCTCATTAGCATACAGTCAGACCACTAAACATGTCATCTCATTAGCATACAGTCAGACAATTTCACTAAACATGTCATCTCATTAGCATACAGTCAGACCACTAAACATGTCATCTCATTAGCATACAGTCAGACCACTAAACATGCCATCTCATTAGCATACAGTCAGACCACTAAACACGCCATCTCATTAGCATACAGTCAGACCACTAAACATGCCATCTCATTATCATACAGTCAGACAATTTCACTAAACATGTCATCTCATTATCATACAGTCAGACAACTTCACTAAACATGTCATCCCATTATCATACAGTCAGACAACTTCACTAAACATGTCATCTCATTAGCATACAGTCAGACAACTAAACACGCCATCTCATTATCATACAGTCAGACCACTAAACATGCCATCTCATTAGCATACAGTCAGACAATTTCACTAAACACGCCATCTCATTAGCATACAGTCAGACCACTAAACATGTCATCTCATTAGCATACAGTCAGACCACTAAACATGTCATCTCATTAGCATACAGTCAGACAACTTCACTAAACATGTCATTACATTATCATACAGTCAGACCACTAAACATGCCATCTCATTAGCATACAGTCAGACAATTTCACTAAACACGCCATCTCATTAGCATACAGTCAGACCACTAAACATGTCATCTCATTAGCATACAGTCAGACCACTAAACATGCCATCTCATTAGCATACAGTCAGACAATTTCACTAAACACGCCATCTCATTAGCATACAGTCAGACAATTTCACTAAACATGTCATCTCATTAGCATACAGTCAGACAATTTCACTAAACACGCCATCTCATTAGCATACAGTCAGACCACTAAACATGTCATCTCATTAGCATACAGTCAGACAATTTCACTAAACACGCCATCTCATTAGCATACAGTCAGACCACTAAACACGCCATCTCATTAGCATACAGTCAGACCACTAAACACGCCATCTCATTAGCATACAGTCAGACAATTTCACTAAACACGCCATCTCATTAGCATACAGTCAGACCACTAAACATGTCATCTCATTAGCATACAGTCAGACAACTAAACATGTCATCTCATTAGCATACAGTCAGACCACTAAACATGCCATCTCATTATCATACAGTCAGACAACTTCACTAAACATGTCATCTCATTAGCATACAGTCAGACCACTAAACATGTCATCTCATTATCATACAGTCAGACAACTTCACTAAACATGTCATCTCATTATCATACAGTCAGACAACTTCACTAAACATGTCATCTCATTATCATACAGTCAGACAACTTCACTAAACATGTCATCCTATTGTCATTGTTTAAAACCGTTACAAGATCTCTAGTGTCGAATGAGTGAAGCTACAAAAGACGTGATACAGAGCAAAGAAAAAGTTCACCTGTGATTATTTTGTTTCTCAGCACCTGTTGGTTGTATGCGTGTCTCTGCCCGTCGCTCCACGTGTATTCAGCACAAAGTTCTTTGAACACGGGGTACTTGCCAACAGACTGAGGAGGGACGTAACTCTACATTCATAACTCGTAAATCAGGTCCATAAAGTTAATATAATTTATCTTCTTCTGTCAAACCAGCGGTAATAAAAAATAAAGCGGGAGTAATCTCCCCTAAACTTTCTAGTATATTTTTATACACTAACAATACCTATGACTAGTACAACTTACCTCACCACTAAGTACAACTTACCTCAACACTAAGTACAATAAGTACACCTTACCTCACCACTATGATTTGTACAACTTACCTCACCACTATGACTTGTACAACTTACCTCACCACTATGACTTGTACAACTAATCTCATCAGTAGTTACTACTATAACTTGTACAACTTACCTCACCACTATGTACAACTTACCTCACCACTATGACTTGTACAACCTCACCACTAAGTACAACTTACCTCACCACTATAACTAGTACAACTTACCTCAACACTATAAGTAGTACAACTTACCTCAACACTATAACTAGTACAACTTACCTCACCACTAAGTACAACTTACCTCACCACTAAGTACAACTTACCTCACCACTAAGTACAACTTACCTCACCACAAAGTACAACTTACCCCACCACTAGGTATAACTTACCCTAACAGTGAGTATGAGGTGAGCACTAGACCTGAGCACATCCACAGGATCAGTGTGAGTAATGTTTAGAATCACCATTAGTACAACTTACCCTAACAGTGAGTATGAGGTGAGCACTAGACCTGAGTACATCCACAGCATCAGTGTGAGTAATGTTTAGAAAATCTGTGTCGTTGACCCTGACTATCTGATCCCCTGGTGCTAGACCACTACGTGCTGCAAGGCCACCCTTGTCGACTCTGGTGGAAGATATGTCCATGTTAGAAAACATGTTCATGTTAAACATGTCCATGTAAGAAAACATGTCAATGTAAGACAGACAAATGTCCATGTAAGAAAACATGTCCATGTTAGACAGCAAATAGGTCACATTTTATAGAGAAAATACGTCAGACGGTCCACTCTCTCAAAAACATAGAACCGTATAGGTGTTGTACGCACTTTGATCTTTATATCGTTTATCTAAAAGCACAGATCCGTTGAGTTCGCTCCCACAGAAACATGTCACTACAATCCACTCAAACAGAAACATAGATCCATATAATACCTATAATCACAGAACCCTTGATCATTATTTCCCTATAGCCACAGAAACATAGATCCCTATAACCACTTACCTATAGACCCCTGTAATCCACTCACCTAGAAACAGACCCTATAATCCACTCACCTAGAGATCCCTATAATCCACTCACCTAGAGACCCCTATAACCACTCACCTAGAGACCCCTATAATCCACTCACCTAGAGACCCCTATAATCCACTCACCTAGAGACCCCTATAATCCACTCACCTAGAGACCCCTATAATCCACTCATCTAAAGACCCCTATAATTCACTCACCTAAAGACCCATATAATCCACTCACCTAGAGACCCCTATAACCACTCACCTAGAGACCCCTGTAACCACTCACCTAGATACCCCTGTAACCACTCACCTAGAGACCCCTATAATCCACTCACCTAGAGACCCCTATAATCCACTTATAGACCCCTATAATCTACTCACCTAGAGACCCCTATAACCACTCACCTAGAGACCCTATAACACACTCACCTAGAGACCCCTATAATCCACTCACCTAGAGACCCCTATAATCCACTCCTAGAGACCCATATAACCACTCACCTAGAGACCCCTATAATCTACTCACCTAGAGACCCCTATAACCACTCACCTAGAGACCCTATAACACACTCACCTAGAGACCCATATAACAACTCACCTAGAGACCCCTATAATCCACTCACCTAGATACCCTTATAATCCACTCACCTAGAGACCCCTATAATCCACTCCTAGAGACCCATATAACCACTCACCTAGACCCCTATAATCTACTCACCTAGAGACCCCTATAACCACTCACCTAGAGACCCTATAACACACTCACCTAGAGACCCATATAACAACTCACCTAGAGACCCCTATAATCCACTCACCTAGATACCCTTATAATCCACTCACCTAGAGACCCCAATAACCACTCACCTAGATACCCTTATAATCCACTCACCTAGAGACATAGATCCCAATACCGTACTCTGTCCCCCCACGAATATTGAGGCCGATGAAGTCGGTGTCGCCCCCTAGGGTGAGTACCAGTTTCTTCTCCACTAGAATGTTGGGTAATCCTTTGGATGTTGGACTTTCACTGACCGGTGGTCGACCCACAACACGACTCCTCGAGACATCAAACCTGAGATGGAATAATACAACAATAACTTAATTTAGAACATCTTCTGGCTTAACGAAACATTAGACGTGGTAGAACCAACATCCTTCATCTTTTGTAATGTGAATAAATAAAAAAGAAACTTTCAAAATAGATCCGTTTCTCATTTTTAAAATTTGGAAAATTCGTAATGTCACAGAATTTTTGTTTGTTGTTGTCTACAGTCTACCAACATTGTATCACCACACATGGCGTCAAGTAGAGTCACCACAAATCCACTCACAGGGTCACCATGCCCGTGTCACCATGCCCGTGTCACCCTGCCCGTATCACCACGACCGTGTCACCATTCCCGTATCACCATGCCCGTGTCACCACGACAGTGTCACCATGACGGTGTCACCATGCCCGTGTCACCATGCCCGTGTCACCATGCCAGTGTCACCACGACCGTGTCACCACGACCGTGTCACCATGACCGTGTCAACATGACGGTGTCACCTTGCCCGTATCACCATGCCCGTGTCACCCTGCCCGTGTCACCAACTCACCACAAAACCCTCTCCTTGATTACAGTCACTACAACCGTGTCACCATGCCCGTGTCACCCTGCCCGTATCACCATGCCCGTGTCACCCTGCCCGTGTCACCAACTCACCACAACACCCTCTCCTTGGCTACAGTCACAATGCCCGTGTCACCCTGCCCGTGTCACCAACTCACCACAACACCCTCTCCTTGGCCACCTTCCACTCTGGCACCTTGCCACACCTGAGCACCACCAGGTTGAGCAGCGCTGAGCTGGACAACACCTTGACGGCACCGCTGTTGGCCACACAGTCCAGGTCCACACCGTTGGCGGTTATCACGTGATCCCCCACCTGCAGGCCGGCTAGAGCTGTGGGGGGGGGGGGGAGGTGTAAAATAATTACTTAATTACAAGCAAATTATGTGGGTGTTTCCCACACTCGTTGGTTGGGGGTATACAGATCTCGTTGTTACATTTCAAACAGAGAACCTTTTGTTTGGGCAATTGTTGCTAGAGTCTGTAGAGGATTTAAGGTATGGAGTTAGTGCCAGAGGCGTAGCGACCCTTCCCGGCGACCGGGGACAAACTTTTTCCTCAAGATTTCGATTTGCACCCCCCTCCCTCAAACTTTCGATTTGCACCGCCCCCTCAAGATTTCGATTTGCCCCCTCCTCAACCTTTCAATTTATTTCTCCAACCCATTTTGGCGCCCCCTAAGGTCGGCGCCCGGGGACATATGTCCCCGCCCCCCCCCCCCTCGCTACGCTACTGGTTAGTGCAATTATACAGGTATCGAAGTTTAGGGGAATGGGGTTATGGCAACTATACAGGTATTGAGGTTTAGGGTATGGGGTTATGGTAATCATACAGTTATGTTTTTATAGAAGCTTTATGGCAATCATAACCTATATGTGTCTATAAGAGGTTTAGGTTTTTGATCAAGCGAACAGTTTATAGCGTGATGATTGATTCGATCATGATCGTTTGACACACGTCTACCAAAAAACAAATCTTGACCATTGTCAGGTCAGTCTTAACGACACGATGGAAAATTTGACCATTGGGTGTACCAGTGCTAAATGAGACAAGTGCTAAAGGGAGACGGTGCTAAATGAGACAGTACTAAAGAGTGCCAAATGTTTAATAACCTCTAAACCAGGGGTTCCCAACTTTTTTTTACTCTAGAGCACATTCTTAAATACCGGTAGGGTGGCGGGCACCACCTATTTTACATCGACATACTCCTTCCCGTCACCCGGGGACAAAACTTTCGATTTGTACCCCCCCCCCCCTCAAACTTTCGATTTGCACCCCCCCCCCCTTAAACTTTCGATTTGCACCCCCCCCCCTTTCAAACTTTCGATCTCCATCCCCTTCAACCTTTCAATAATGTTAATGAAAAAAACTGTTTTGTATCGTTCGGCGGGCGCCATTGCGCCCGCGGGCACAGGGTTGGGAACCCCTGCTCTAAACGATGAACTCTGACTGACTTTAACCGTGTCGGTATGTCTCAATCTCGCCAAAAGTTTCTGACAAATCTAAACAATTCAGCTAATGAGATGTCTTGTAGCGATTCACCGCGGGAAACCTTATTACATTCCCATGACATTGTGACCTTCACGACCTTGCTTTATGTCACCAATGTCTTTCATTCCCTCGCTATTTGTCGAACAATTTCTGCTTGACTGGTCAAAGAGAGATAACTCCGTTATTCTGATCTTTATGACACGAGTCGCCCCCCATCCCCACTCACTGACTCAATCGTTTCACAGGCCAGGAGAATCAATAACAAAGTTCCAGGCTATTTATAGTCAGTAAACGTGATTGACAGCGTGAGAGGTGCGACATCTGACAAATATGACGGATGTTGTACGTCAGATAAACGTGACGGATGTTGTATGTCAGATGATGGATGTTGTATGTTAGACATGACGGATGTTGTATGTCAGATAACGGATGTTGTATGTTAGACATGACGGATGTTGTATGTCAGATGACGGATGTTGTATGTTAGATGAAGGTGTTGTATGTTAGATGACGGATGGATATGTCAGATGACGGGTGTTGTATGTCAGATAATGTTGTATGTCAGATGATGATGTTGTATGTCAGATGACGGATGTTGTATGTCAGATGACGGGTGTTGTATGTCAGATAATGTTGTATGTCAGATGATGATGTTGTATGTCAGATGACGGATGTTGTATGTCAGATGACGGATGTTGTATGTCAGATGACGGATGTTGTATGTCAGACAAATATGACAGATGTTGTATATTAGATGACGGATGGATATGTCAGATGACGGATGTAGTATGTCTGATAAACCTGGCGGATGTTGTATGACAGATAAACATAACGGTGTGATTTTTATCGAATCAACCTCTAATATGACTAAAACAGCGTCAACAGCAACACTACCACCAACACTAACATCACTAAATTAACATCAACATCACCACATTTATCACCATCAACATCACCAATGATATCACCATGAGTATCGCCACACATCAACACCCCAATCAACATAATCGAATATGACGTATTAAAACCACCGTTGGTTTGACTTTAATGAATAATCGAATCATTTGTATCGTTAATAAAAGCAAGTAGGTTTATGGCAACATAATCGTTGAAATCGATACTACAGATTCGATCTCAGACGAACAGCTAAAAACAGAAACAAGAAAAGTGCAGTAATGCAAGTTGTATCATACAAAAGCAAACAAATAGCAAATATCAAATATACATTAAACACAAAATTAGACACAATCATCAAATCTTAATCGAAAATATTGATTTAATTTCAATAAGTACTCTAATTTTTTTTTAAATTCCATACCAGCTGTATCTACACACTGCACACCAAGACTTCAATTAACGGCACACTTCTACTATTTATATCGTGTAACCCGTTTAACACAACATAAACATTTATACTTTTGTATACCGCGTACCCCTTTCAACTACACAGATCCCCCCCCCCCCCCTCTCCCCAATAAACATTTTTACTTTTCTCAATGTAGGTAGATCTAAATACCATAGAAAACGCCTCAACACTTAAAGCGTTAGGTCGATCAATACACAAACTGTACCAGGATCGCGTGAATAAGCACATATTTGCATAAAGTCAAAGAGACATTTGTAGAGATATGTCAGCTAGGGTCAGATGTAGGAGGGGCTTTAAATCACTTGATTAAACGGAATGTTAGGGCATATTCAGGATATAATGTCTAGAGTTATGTTAGCTCAATGAACTTTACATCGACTTAATTAAACGGAATGTTAGGGCATATTCAGGATATAATGTCTAGAGTGATGTTAGCTTAATGAACTTTACATCGACTTAATTAAACGGAATGTTAGGGCATATTCAGGATATAATGTTTAGAGTGATGTTAGCTTAATGAACTTTACATCACTTGATTAAACGGAATGTTAGGGCATATTCAGGATATAATGTCTAGAGTGATGTTAGCTTAATGAACTTTAAATCACTTGATTAAACGGAATGTTAGGGCATATTCAGGATATAATGTCTAGAGTGATGTTAGCTTAATGAACTTTACATCACTTTACTAAACGGAATGTTAGGGCATATTCAGGATATAATGTTTTGAGTGATGTTAGCTTAATGAACTTTACATCACTTGATTAAACGGAATGTTAGGGTATATTCAGGATATAATGTTTGGAATGATGTTAGCTTAATGAACTTCGGGGACTTAGGAATATTACATCAACTTGATTAAACGGAATGTTATGGCATATTCAGGACATAATGTCTAGAGTGATGTTAGATAAGTGAACTTCGGGGACTTAAAAATATTACATCGAATTCCCGGAACTTGGGTATACTTTGTATTTTAAGAAAATCTTTATAACCAGCAAATCAGGAATGTTCACAACATGCACAGTAGGTAGACAGTTGAGTAGCAAACACAAGGAAGTACATTGTGTGAATCGACCCACTTTTTGTTGTGTCAGGCAGGTGTTGAGTTCTTAAAGCAGGAAGTAACACAATAGGTTTTCTGTGAAAACGACTTAAAGCGTCATTGAGTCATCACTGCGTGCTGAGCGGGATGGGCATAGTGGCTCATTCTAAGCAGACGATAAATGTCTATCTCACCCCCCCCCCCACCCGCACCTAAAAGCTTTTTATCTATTCTAAATAAAGTAATATATAGAGACAAATTTCCATTCCCAACAAAGCAACAGAGATAACAGAGTTTCTTTCATGCATCCCTGGGGGGGGGGGGGGCGGATCTCCCTCGAAGAAAGTCTACCCCCCCACCCAAAAGAAATGGAATTTATATAGAAAGGGTATACTTTTACAGTGTCCCCCCCCCCCCCACCGAAAATTTCAAGTGCCCCCCCTCCCCTGGAGAAAAAAGTCTGGAAGAAACACTGGCGACACAAAAACTGTCAATTCCAAATGGATCACGGGGTGAATATATGCCAGTTATATATGCCAATTCCCCCCCCCCACCCCCCCCCCCAAAAAAAAAACAACAACAAATAACAACAAACAAACAAAAACAAACAACAACAACACTAGTCTATACAGAGGTAGTTTGTCTCGTCGACTCATAGATATCCATACTGAAGAACATTTTGTTTCACACACACTGTATCATTACGATCATTAGTTAACAGTTTCACTTTAACGACTATAGTTTAGTCCACATAGGCAACACCTAATCTAGACTGTAGACTGTCTCAAGCCATATAGTCTACATTGAGACTTCTACTCAGTCTAAACAATCATTACATAAAAAATATCTACTAGCGATAACAGGCATATTAGCATAGCGATAGCTTCAACCTACACCTACACTATACATGAATCAGGGACATTAGTGACAACTTAGAGATCAGTTCATAAACTAACACACTTATGGATACATACCTCTACTGGTACAAGAGAATGTTCTATCCGAAATTTGTTCTATCTAGATCTAGATCTATACGCTGCAACAGCAACACGACGTATGACCAGGAGCAGACGACAGATCCGTCAAAGTGTGACCCCACTACGTCATCAAACCACGGAAGCGAGTTCAACCAAGCGTGGCGCGCGCTGTGTTCAATCGGGGTTAGAAGTGGGCCGTATTCCCCAAATTGGGGGGGGGGGGGGGTGTGGGGTGGTGGTTAGGGCAGTGGCGTGCAGACCTATGTAGATGCCCGGGGCAAACTCAAGCGGAAGATGCCCCCCATAAATACATATATATATATATATATATATATATATATATATATATATATATATATATATATATATATATATATATATATATATATATACTTTATTTAAAAAATTGTACTTATCTTAATTGAGATGAAAACGTTGACTACAGCCAGCTAAATCCAAATGGAGTAAATGGTTGGAATTTGGGGGGGGGGGGGGGGGGGGGGGGGGGGGGGGGGAAAGGGGTTGGAAAGGGGGGAGACAATTGCGGACGTGTCGTGGTGGGGAGGGGGGGGGGCTGTGATGCACTACAAAAGAGTCTCATCGGGTATTGTATTACCACCCGGGACCGCAGGGACAAAAACGCTGTCCGTGTCTACAATTAGGGCGTCAGACACGCCTTTATTAATGGGATGTTTCTCTCTTGGCCTGTTTAGGAATTCCTATAGTGTAACCAATACAGGTGAGAGTGTGCATTGAACTAGAGATGTTTCAGATTTTTTCTCTAAACCACTTGGTCAAAACGTCAACTCTTTAAAGAGATGGGTGATGCTAGATACTCTCAAAGTATCTGAACCTTGAATATAACAGAAGTGTACATTGTTTGGCTAAAGCTGCCAGCCCTAAAAAAAACACTTCTACACAGTGGCGTAGCGAGGTCGGGTGTCACCCGGTGCGGCACTTAATGGTGTCACCCCCCGGAGGCGTCGCGACCCTTCCCGGGGACAAACTTTCAAGTTTTCGATTTGCACACCCCCCCCCCCTCAAACTTTCGATTTGCACCCCCCCCCCTCAAGTTTTCGATTTGCAACCCCCCCCCCCCTCAAACTTTCGATTTGCACCCCCCCTCAAGTATATATATATATATTGCTATTTTTTTGCCTTGGTGTCACCCCCCTAAATAGTGTCACCCTGTGCGGTCCGCACCCCCCCGCCCCCCCCCCCTCGCTACGCCCCTGCTTCTACATCGGACTGTGTTTAAAAATCTACTATGCTATGTCAGACCCTTAATTTAGCTGTAAATTAAATTGTTCTTCTGGCTGCCTCTTTAAATTAAGCCATAGGCTATTAACCTCTTTTTGAAGTTGGTATTTCAATTTGGAAGGATACGCCTTTTGATACAAATCATTTAATTTAGCATATTTCGCGGTGTTTTGACTAGCCATTATTTCGCACACTTGTAGTCGCATTGACACTGTTATATTACTGAGTCCAACGTTGATGCTAGTGTGTATTAACGCCCCCCATCCTGTCCCACACCTGAACAAGGACAGCGTGCTATGCCCCCCCCCCCTCCACCCCTCTCCCGTCTCACAACTGAACTGGGATAACCCCGCCTACCAAAAATAATGTTAGATTTAATGTGTGGACGTCCACATTGGGCCAACCCCCCCCCCCCCCCTCCCCCTGTCCACACGCGTCCACAAAAGTCAATTTTTTTCGGACCCCCCCCCCCCAGTGTGGACGTCATAAATGGATGACTCCTAATTAAGAAGTGTGAGACTTAAGGACAACTTTAGAATGAAGTTAACTCGGCCCGGCCCAGTGTATCAAAACAGTACGGACTTGAAAGTTTGTATTTAACCGTACACAAAAATCCAAATGGCCATGAATAAAGAATATCATTAGAATAAAAAAAAAACAATAGGCTGTGTGCTTAATCAGTCTACGAATGCCGTTACGTCCATCATAATAAATAAGGATGCCCTACAAACATTATGCAATGAATAGAAACATAATAAAGATGCCCGATAAAATATAAAGCGAACAAGGACATAATTACTGTAGGGATGCCCTTCAGACATTCAATAATGAATATAAGCATAATAAATATCCGATAATATATAAACGAATATGGGCATAATTGCTATAATTATATAAATACAAACGTGAATACAAGTAAATTACTTTAAAGATGCCCTGATGATATATAAAATGTATGCGGGCATAATTACTGTTTGGATGCCCTTCAAAAGTATTATGATGAATATAAGCAAATTACATTAAAGATGCCCCTACAGTGTGTAAATTATAATCATGGGCTTTAATACTCTATGGATGACCACAAAGTATAAAATGATTATGGGCGTGTTCTCTAAAAGATGCCCCTACAGTGTGTAAATTATAATCATGGGCTTTAATACTCTATGGATGACCACAAGTGTATAAAATGATTATGGGCGTGTTCTCTAAAAGATGCCCCTACCTACACAAGTATCAGATACTCTATTAATTGAAAGACTGCATACATTTATTCGGGGAATATCAATGACTACTACACCACTACCCTTCACCGATGCCCCTTTCTCCCTGAAGGTTGTACGACACGGACAGTACGATGACTATAGCAGTGCCATGTGTTGATTGTATATACACATTTCGGTGAATTCGGCAAATTGTGATAATTTTATAATTCTGCCTAGGTAGACAAACCTTAGTAGACAGATTTCCTTAAAAAAAAAAAAAAAAAAAAAAAAAAAAAAAAAAAAATTAAAATTAAAAATTTAAAAAAAAAATCATTTTTTTAAAAACCCCTTTGGATGCCCCCTTGATGTGGCTGCCCGGGGCCTGGGCCCCCTCCGCCCCCCCCTCTGCACGCCACTGGGTTAGGGTACCCTCATATGAAGGCTGGTTGGAGGGTTGTGTGGGGGAACAGAGGGAGGTTTGTGTGAGATGAATGTTTGGGGGGGGGGGGGGGGCGGATGTAAATTTCCCTTCTCCACGTCCATCTTTACAAAATGTTAGACTCCCACTTCCAACTGACCTGGCATCTCAGCGCCCACCCCACCCGCCCCTTCTAATGCCCACCACTAAAGTATGACTCAAGTTTAGTACCACCTCCAGCGGCATACAGCGTATCACTACGATTAAGATCATACTCGCACCTCCAATATCGCCTCAGTGATCACAAAGTAAATTTTAGTTCCTCGTGCGATACTTTACAACACAATCGCAACAACGGCAACATTTCATAACACAATAGCAGCAACGGCGACAATTTACAACACAATAGCAGCAACGGCGACAATTTACAACACATTCGCAACAACGGCGACAATTTACAACACAATCGCAACAACGGTGAAAATTTACAACACAATCGCAACAACCGTGACAATTTACAAAACAATAGCAACAAGCCTCTAGGCGGAGTTTACAGCAGTCTTTGTTTAAAAACTGAATACAAAGTGACAAGTTCTAAATTGACAAGACTTGAAATTGACAAGCTTGCGTGGACCGCGTCAGACAGCTTGACAGATTACAGTGTTGACAGGTAACGTGAAAATTTAATTAAAAAACAAACGAAAGAAATGATTGGTCAAAAACACAGACTGTAGAAGATACAAGGGATTCACATATTTCACCGCAGCAAGCTATAATCAATCGATGAGTTGTAATACTACAGAGATTTAACAATCAGAATTTAGTGTAAATATCGTATTATATGTTGAAGTTATTCTAACACAAAATGTTTTTAGTATAAGTGTTGTGATGCTAATCTTAACCGACCTTTGATTACTATGTTAAATGTTATCGACCTACAGTTTAATTATACTGACGTTCAGTTAAATTAGGTTTAATTTTATTTACATAAGTGAAGTCAGGTTTAATGTTATTGACCTACAGGTTATTTAGGTGCAGAGGCGTAGCGAGGGGGGGGGGGTACATATGTCCCCGTGCGCCGACCTCAGGTGGCGCCAAAATGGGTTGTAAAAACAAATTAAAATATCATTTTAGCTGCAGCTTTGCATTATAAATATAAAAAATCTATGGGGGGGGGGTGCGCCAAATTGAAAGTTTGTCCCCGGGCGCCGGAAAGGGTCGCTACGCCTCTGTTTAGGTGTACTGTTATTGACCAACAAGTCAGTTAAGTTTAATGTTATTGACCAACAGGTTAGTTACGTTTAATGTTATTGACCAACAAGTCAGTTAAGTTTAATGTTATTGACCAACAGGTTAGTTATGTTTAATGTTATTGACCAACAAGTCAGTTAAGTTTAATGTTATTGACCAACAGGTTAGTTACGTTTAATGTTATTGACCAACAGGTTAGTTAAGTTTAATGTTATTGACCAACAGGTTAGTTACGTTTAATGTTATTGACCAATAGGTTAGTTACGTTTAATGTTATTGACCAACAGGTTAGTTATGTTTAATGTTATTGACCTAAAAGAAGTTTAAACTTACCCGCCGGAGAGTTAGGCTTGATGTTACTGACGTAGATTCCCAGTCCGAATTCTGCCCCGCCTCTGATACTGAAGCCCATAGATTCACCCCGTGATCCATAAATCGTGACGTAATGCTCCGATGACGTCATGGTGTTAGGAGGCGTGGCGATTCTACCTGAATAAAAAAACAAAACAGACTTACCACGTGACTTCAAACAGCGCGTGGGACGTCAAGAAAAAAAAAGTCGTCCATAAGAAAAACAAGGTAGGGCCTACATATAATCTTACACAATGATTAATGCGATTTACGACATCAATTCACGACACAAGTAAAATCTAATAGGCAATTATTTTTTTTTTAAATTCTTAAGAAAATTAAATCAACAGCATTGTTTTAAATTATTGGTTTATAAAACCTGACATTAACCCTCAGGCTTTTCAATAAAATATTTTTTTTTTGGTTAAAATTGAATGAAAAATATTACAATAAACAATACATTAGCAAATTTTATAACAAGTCAGAGTACAAATCCGCCGCAATCTTTTACAGTTGAAGTGAGTATACACAGAGGCTTACAAAGCGTAAACATCTATTTATAGAAAAAATAATTAAAATTGAGGATAAATAAAAATAAAGCGGAGTGATCTCCCCTAAACTTGCTGGAAAATTCTTATATAACAGCAACTCGGGATATAGACATGATTTTTAATCAGCTTTTACATACTTGAACTTTTTAAAAATAGAATAGAATCTCGTAAAAGAAAGAATTGCGCACTAAGTGAACGGCAAACAATATGTGTATAATAGGGAGGAATACTAACACTTTATAAATTCATATGCGTTTTTTTTTTGAGAAATCGGAAATAGCGTAAATTACTACTTCCGGTCAACGGAAATTGCTCAAAATCTGACTGAAGGCAGAGAATTGGATCTTTTACTTTTATGTGAAATTTCGTATATCCGTGTGAAACAGTACTTAAGTTAAAGGGTTTTGAAAAACCAAAAGTAGAATACCGAAACCGCTGAAAAATTAATACAGAACTACATATTTTATATAAGCCTAATACTTATATATGAAATCTCATCAACCTAGCTATAACGGTACTCAAGTTGTCGTGTTCACATACATACACACATAGGCCTACACACATGCACAGGTATACGGACACAATTTTCCGACACATGGAGGTGTAAAACGTCGAGATTTGAGAAAATCATAATATCAATATTTTGCACGATTACTATACTTCCTCAATAATACGCATACGAGAAAGTTTTTTTTTTTTCAAACTTTGCGTTAGCAATTGTATATTAAATTTTTATTAACAAAACCAGATGGGTGTATACATTGATAAATTTTGTTTGATGGTCAAGACACTATTTCAGATTTCAGCAGTTTACTTTCTTCAGTGGCGTAGCCAGGATCGTCTCAAGGGGGGGGTTCCAATTTTTACCCGGGGACAAACTTTCGATTTGCACCCCCCCCCCTCAAACTTTCGATTTGCACCCCCCCCCCTCAAACTTTCGATTTGCACCCCCCCCCCTCAAACTTTCGATTTGCACCCCCCCCCCCCCTCAAACTTTCGATTTGCACCCCCCCCTCAAACTTTCGATTTGCACCCCCCCCCCTCATACTTTTTATATATACCGAGGGGTCTATGGGGGGGGTTATGACCCCCCCTAACCCCCCCCTGCCTACGCCACTGACTTTCTTCATACTCCGTTTCATTTAATAATCCCAAGACTGCTATAACTTGGTACTGTTTGGCCTGGAATCCTAACAGGGTTTTTCTGAATACCTTCATATCTTTCCACATCAAATAATTGTTTTTAGCTAACTCTGCCATTTGGTTGTTAGGTGTGCCAGGATAAAAGATAAAAAAAACGCATACGAGAAAATATAATTCTTTTTTTTACGAGAAAGTTTTTTTTTTTTTTTTTTTTTTTTTTTTTTTTTGTTGAGCATGTTCATTTATTATTTTAACTTAAGAAAAAGATATTTTTTAAATTACTGCACATGAAGTCTAAAGGTTTACCATTTTAACTTTTTATGCATGTTGTTTGATATTTTAAAACAACTTTTACAAAGGTTTTGAAATATTTATGAAAGAATGTTTTAGAAGGTTCATATAAAGTTTAAAGATGTGCAGAATATAATGTTCAGGTTTGAAATTTTACGAGAAAGTTAAAAATTGAAGATAAAGGCAAATCGACTTAATTAGATTAAAATCCTTTTGAATTTAATTTGATAACAGTGATTGTTTTAATTCAAACTAGTTGTCAAAGAGTAAATAAAAAGTACATTCAACTAAATACGTGAAAAAATCATCTGATGGAAATTAAAATATTTATAATTAAATATTGTTATAAATAAACCATCTCTTGCTTTGTTGCTACTATTCACCATTTAAATATATCTTTATTTTTAATTTTTTAGTCATAGTTGTATGTTGCTTTCCCTTTATTAGTTAAAAAGATAAATGGGAAGCAACCAATACATTTAATGTGGATATATTTTTAACATTGTAATATAATGAATATTAAAATTACACTCACATATCCTCGCACACGCATACACACACTCACAAACCCACAATATATATATATATATATATATATATATATATATATATATATATATATATATATATATATATATATATATATATATATACATCGATAGACTGCTAACCCGAAGTCTCGAGTTCGAATCCAGCCTAAAGTATTCAGATTGTCCCTGAGTCCACCCATCTCTAATGGGTATATAATTCACATTACGAAAAGTAAAGACGGCTGAGCATAGTGCTGACCACACTACCCCTTCATATGCAAAGGTCACAGAAACAGGTGAACTCTACTTCACTTTCCCCATGCATGGACCTTCAGATTCGAAACCGGAACTTATACATCGAAGTGATCCCAAATCAATTTAATGTTTGAGTTTTTCTGAGAATAAAATACACACACAACGCTTTAAAGTGCACACGAAACAACACAAGACTTTCTTGCTCTTTAGATAATTTTGAAGATCTTCGGAATAAACGGATAAAGACCCCCAATTCTTGTTGCAGATATTTTGTGTTAATCCGTTAGAGGAAAACTATTCAGTTATACAACTGCACTTTTAACTAGCCGAATTTTCAAAATGGTTTCATAATTAAGCTAAAACGATTAAAGTCAGTATAGTCGTACTAATCATCAGTATCACCATTATTCTCGTGGACCTCTAGCGCAGCATCATGCTTGGTCCTGGGCGATTCCTTGAAGTTGGGACTACAACATTCCGGTTTCTTGACTTCACCAACAAGTTTCCAAGTTTGTTTTTGGCCTATTTAATTTCCACTTTTCTTGGGGATTCCAATCTAAGGCCTGTCTGGTGATGTTGCTGTTTTCAACATGTGTCCAATGCATCCCCATTTGTTCATTTGTATTTCTTGATGTGGAGGGTGTTGAATGAGTTCCCGACCTTACTGGGTTGGTTGTTTATTGTCCTCAGTTCTATTATTGAGTCGTGTGAATGCTGTCACTGTCCACGCCTTCAAGTTTATGAAAGCTCCTCGTTCTTGCTAGATGGTTCAAGTTTTCAATAGATGCTCACGCCTCCGCAGAAACGATGGTGTTTTCCATACATAGTCACCATCTATCAACTTAGTAAAGATCCCCCCGCCCCTAACAAGTGGCACAAAAAACGTGTGAGCCTCTTTTGTTTACATTATGTCCGCAGTTTGCGCTTGTAACTGAATCCTTTCAAATTTTTAAACGAGAAATTAACCGAAGTTTTTTTTTACCTGAATTTTAAACCCTTACCGTAATTTTTCCTGCTTGCCTTTCCCTTGTTGCCCCAGATCAGCTGATCAAAATGTTGCCTCTCGGCCCTGCTCATAGGAGCCCGGATGTAAGCAAACAACTTGCTCCGCTCCGGCGTGTTGAGCAAAACTTTCAGAGCCGAGCACAACTTTTCCAGGTCGTTGGTCTTCTGGTAGTTGAATAGAACTTTCTGGAGGGCGTCACGTTCCTTGTGGGTCAACAACTGGCAGGACAGTTCCTGGAAGTGATTCACTGACTCCTTGAACATGGCGTCACAGCACGCGAGTAACTACTCACCTAGGTTGTGTTTAGATCTCCATTGACCACTCACGAATTTTAAAATCTCACAATACGTGTTACAGAATACACAATTATAAAGAAAATCCACCAAAATCAAAACGACCCAGAATGATAATAAGACGTAAAATTGTTGAGCTAGTTGTTCTGATACAATCATCCCCTACACACAACCCTAAGGAGATTTATATTGCCTTCTTCATCTAAAGTAACACGTGACATCGATAAGTAATGAAAACAGAGCAATAATACGGGCGAACTAAAGAGGGAAAACAGCACAGATGTTCAAATCGATACAATCTGTCACCACCAAAGTGACGTCACCACAACAGGGACATATGTTACTCACCTACACGCGGGCTGTGTCTGTGTGTGCGTGCACACGGTGTGTGCTGTGTACCGAGGTTTGACACGGTTCGATGATTAGATGAATAAATCATGAGCAGCCCCTAGTACTCACTGCTTGCTGGTGGCGAGACGGAGATACCAATGCGGGTAGTCATAGTTGCTTCATAGCTCGTGTACACACATTTACTTTATAATAGACTGCCCCATAGGTAGTCATAGTTGCTTGATAGCTCATGTACACATCTTTACTTTAGACTCCCCCTTAGGTAGTCATAGTTGCTTCATAGCTCGTGTACACACCTTTACTTTATAATAGACTCAGCCATGGGTATTCATAGTTGCTTGATAGTTAGTGTAGACATCTTTATAATAGACTCCCCCATGGGTAGTCATAGTTGCTTGATAGTTAGTGTAGACATCTTTATAATAGACTCACCCATGGGTAGTCATAGTTGATTGATAGCTCATGTACACATCTTTACTTTATAATAGACTCCCCCATAGGTAGTCATAGTTGCTTGAAAAGTATTCTTAACATCTTTATAATAGACTACCCGAATTTGCAGTCATAGTTACTTGATTGATCGTGTACTTCGTGTATACATCTTTACTTCAAAATAGACTCCCCCATTTGTAATCATAGTTGCTTACTAGGTCCTGTACACATCTTCACTTTATTCTTCCCTCCACACCCCCCCCCCCGATGTGCAGTCATCGTTGCTTGATATGTCGTGTACACATCTTCACTTTATTCTTTCCTCCATCCCTCCCTCCCCCCCCCCCGATGTGTAGCCACAGTTGCTTGATATGTCGTGTACACATCTTAATTTTTGTAACCCGACTTTGTCATAACTGCTTTATCAGCAACACATCTGATTGTTATAAAACAATGAAACACGCTGACAGTGCAAAATATTCCAAGTACGCGAATCTTTGTTATAAACAAAATCATTTTTACAATCATTATTATTGATTTTATGTTTGTTTTGATCACATTCATGGAATTAATAGGTTTTTTTTGTAACATCATTCATTGGTATAGACATTGTTTATTTTAATTAAAGCAAAGTAGTAATATAATATAATCTTTGTTTCATAGCACCATCACTGATACAATAATTATATCTCTGTGTTAATGAAGCTATATACGGATAGTCGGTATCGGCTTAATAATTATAGTCAACCCCCCCCTCCTCATGCCCCAGTAGTGTCAGTCACAAGCAAGACACAACTTACGTTAATCGGTTTGACTTCGATGTATTTAAGTTCAATAGCCAACACAGCTTACAATCACCCCCCCCCCCCTCCTACCAATTCAATGATGGCCCCTCAGAGCCAATTAAAACTGTTACGTTCTTTGTTTATCTAACATTATACCGTACATAAACATATACTCATACACCCATACCGAATACATGTACGCGTTCAAATGTGTGAATAATATGCTTATTGTAACATCTTGAAATGTTTTTTTCAAATTCTTCAAAACGTCATAACTTAGACCCTTCTCACTATAGCGTGAATACATTATTTAAAAGCCTCTGTGAATCGATATTTGGTTCAAGGTGAAGTTGATGTACTTACATTCAATTCAGGGGCTGACAACTTAAAAAAAAAGATTGAATCACGAAAAAAAAAGAATGAAAAGTTTAAATACAGGGTTACGTCCCTTGCAGCAACAATGGCTGCTTTCATGGGCAGGCTTGGAGTGTTTGTATACAAAAGTGAGTCCCAGAATTCCTTGGGGTTGTATTCAACACGGGATGTTGCAGCACAGAACTCATTCAATGTGTCGTTTGTGTTGGGGTCTTAGACACAAGACCTCATGCTGGGTTCATTGGAGGTCTTGTGAAACTTTCATACAGGTGAGGGTGCTGGTTGGTGCTGTTGTTTGTTGGTTGGTGTGGTTTGCTGGTTGGTGCTGGTGTTTGTTTGCTGGTTGGTGCTGGTGTTTGCTGGTTGGTGTTGGTGTTTGCTGGTTGGTGTTGTTGTTTGCTGGTTGGTGTTGGTGTTTGCTGGTTGGTGCTGTTGTTTGTTGGTTGGTGCTATTGTTTGTTGGTTGGTGCTGTTGTTTGCTGGTTGGTGCTGGTGTTTGCTGGTTGGTGCTGTTGTTTGCTGGTTGGTGCTGTTGCTTGCTGGTTGGTGCTGTTGTTTGCTGGTTGGTGCTGTTGTTTGCTGGTTGGTGCTGGTGTTTGTTTGCTGGTTGGTGCTGGTTGGTGCTGTTGTTTGCTGGTTGGTGTGGTTTGCTGGTTGGTGCTGGTGTTTGTTTGCTGGTTGGTGCTGGTGTTTGCTGGTTGGTGTTGGTGTTTGCTGGTTGGTGTTGTTGTTTGCTGGTTGGTGTTGGTGTTTGCTGGTTGATGCTGTTGTTTGCTGGTTGGTGCTGTTGTTTGCTGGTTGGTGTTGTTGTTTGCTGGTTGGTGCTGTTGTTTGCTGGTTGGTGCTGTTCTTTGCTAGTTGATGCTGTTGTTTGCTGGTTGGTGCTGTTGTTTGCTGGTTGGTGTTGTTGTTTGCTGGTTGGTGCTGTTGTTTGCTGGTTGGTGCTGGTTGGTGCTGTTGTTTGCTGGTTGGTGTTGGTGTTTGCTGGTTGGTGCTGTTGTTTGTTGGTTAGTGCTGTTGTTTGCTGGTTGGTGCTGGTGTTTGCTGGTTGGTGCTGTTGTTTGCTGGTTGGTGCTGTTGTTTGCTGGTTGGTGCTGTTGTTTGCTGGTTGATGCTGTTGTTTGCTGGTTGGTGCTGTTGTTTGCTGGTTGGTGCTGTTGTTTGCTGGTTGGTGTGGTTTGGTGTTCCTGGTGTTTGTTGTTGTTGTTAGTGTGTGTTAATGATGTTGATTAAGTTGTCTTAGTTTGTTGGTGTTGGTGTTGTTGGCAAAGTTATCAGCTTATGTTGATGTTTGTCGGTGTTGATTGGTGTTGTTTGATGTTGTTGGTGTTGGTAAAGTTGTCTTATGGTGTTGGCATTTGGGTATTTTTTGTGTTAGAGTTGGTGTTGGCTTTTGCTGTTGTTGCTGGTTGGTGTTAGTATACTGGTGTTGTTGGCGTACTTGATGTTTGTTAATGTTGTTGGTAACGTTGTCTGCCTGAAAGGTTGGTGTTTGTTGGTATTGGTAGCGTAATTTGATGTTGCTAGTTTTTTTTAATAAAGACGTTGGTTAAGTAGATGTTTGTTGGTGTTGTTGTTGTTGGTAGGCGAAGTAGGAGTAAAGAGAGATAACCAATAATTAACAAATATTTTATAATTTCCTGAGTTATCTTCCCTAACTGCCCACCCTCATCAAATTAATGACGAACTTAAATATCTTAAATTCTTTAAAACTAAAAAAAAAAAAAAAAAAAAAAGAAAAATAATGGACTGCAGATATTTTCTTTGCTCTTCATGACCTACTTGAAAGTAAATCTACCAGAAACGTTTCTGTTGCAGCTTTTATCGCGTGCAACAGCTAACATCGGTTCTAGAGCTAACCCTGACTTCACAGTGCATTGGCTGTAGCCATACCGTTCATTGTCAGACAGCAGACAGCTGAGTATGACGTCACAGGACATTGACCCTACCTGCAGCATATTTGTCCAACAATGCTGAAAAAATGCGAAAAAAATGTCATTCCTTGGAGCGTTACATGCTGCACATGTTGGCGGTATTTTGTCGACTCACGAACAAGTGCTGGTGATTTTACACCGGGTTAACAGACAGTTATAATGTCAAGTAAAGGGAGATTATCAATGCTAAATAAAGGGAGAGTATCAATGCTAAATAAAGGGAGAGTATCAACGCTAAATAAAGGGAGAGTATCAATGCCAAGTAAAGAGAGTAGCAATATCAACTAAAGGGAGAGTATCATGCCCAGTAAAGAGAGTAGCAATATCAACTAAAGGGAGAGTAGCAATGGCAGCTTAAGGGAGATAACAGGCTAGGTAAATATAAGCAAGCCTCACGTGCCCAGCATACCGTCTCTCGCTCACTCGTGCCACACTCCCAGAAGTCCCGTGAGTCAGATGATGGTTCCAGAAGCCTCTTCCTGCCGTCGTTATTTTTAGACCTACGACAGAGCATTAGCCGGGGTAAGTCAATCACAGGCAGATTTAGATGTTTTCAGTCAACCTGTGAGTCATAAGTCACATGAGCAGGTTGTTGTGATCGCACTGATAGGGCGTGGTCTCTGCTCTAGGTGGGCGGAGTTTTGGTCTTAGTCTGTCCTATATCAGCTTTATGTGGGCGTGGCTTGTCATCCAGCTAGGCCATGAGGGTGTGGCTTGCCTGTCCAAAAAGGGCGTCTATTTATCCTATTTTGTCCAATGATCAACTTAAAGTGGGTGTGTTTTGTTACTAACCTCGCCCTAATGAAGGCGTGGTTAATCTGTCTGTCACTTTTAGGATGTGGTCTGTCAGTTTGTAGGTTTCACAATGTGCTGGTTTGTCACCCTCAGCGTAAACAAATTAAACCAGGCATTTCTTGAAGTTATGAATGTATCAAAGCGTGACTATGTCCAGTTTGATAGGCTCATGGCCAGTCTAACATTAATTAACATTAATACATCAAGGGCTATGGTCGTCTCTTGTAAATATATGACTTTAAGATGTACAGACAGTCCAATAGTTGTAACCACAGACAGTCCAATAGTTGTAACCACAGACAGTCCAATAGTTGTAACCACAGACAGTCCAATAGTTGTAACCACAGTCCAATAGTTGTAACCACAGTCCAATAGTTGTAACCACAGTCCAATAGTTGTAACCACAGACAGTCCAATAGTTGTAACCACAGACAGTCCATTAGTTGTAACCACAGTCCAATAGTTGTAACCACAGTCCAATAGTTGTAACCACAGTCCAATAGTTGTAACCACAGTCCAATAGTTGTAAC